ACCTGTTTCTGCCATTTGATTATTTCAACAAGTTATCTGTTTTTCATTTGTTTTAATTTACAGTTATGTCCATTAATCGCATAACCTATTCAGGCGCTTTTATGAAAAGCCTACGACCTTTCGCTGCACAAGTTACGAAAAAGTACTATAAAAGGCATCGTGGTGGTTGGCAAAATGCGTTAAAGAGAATGAACATTATTCGTATGTCAATTCCCGAGCTACTAAATTCTAACTGCCGATCACTAATCAACAAAGTGGACTATCTGCAGTTCCTACTTAGTCAAAATACGTATCGTAATTGTGGTGTCATCACAATTCAAGAATCTTGGTTGAATGATTTACAGGATGACTGCCTTGTATCACTACGTGATTTTAAAATCTGTCGTCAGGATCGATCGAACAATAAAAAGAGGTGTGATGGCGGTGTAGCTGCGTTTGTAAACATAAACTGGTGTCGATCTTCGTTTGTGTGTTTTAAGTTTTCAAATGACTTTATCGGCCGTCTAACTCTAAGATGTCGTCCAAAACATCTGAATAAATACAAATATGTTTATGTTACCAATATCTACGTGACTCCAGATTGCACATCATCTGCACTATCTGTTTTTGCTGATGAATTCACTGAGTTCGCTGTTACTGCCTTCAGTGATTCACTTTCAGTTGTATGTGGTGATTTCAATTCATGTGACTGTAGCTTCCTTACGTCACTAGGTCACCAAAATGTAGTAGAATTTCCTACCCGTCTGGATGCTCATCTAGACTTCGTCTTCATTAATGATGTGGGTATATATGCGACTCGTAAACGTGCTCCATTGTCTAGCTCAGATCACTGTATAATTCGTGTTCTACCTAAAGTATATGGAAAGCATGGGAAGAGTACACTCCTACGTCAAACCAGAAAAGTCAAATATAGGAATTACACAGAAGAAAATATCCGAAATCTGAAAAACATGTTTCATACGACTAACTGGGAATTATTTACAGATGACTCACTCGAAAACACTACTGATGTTATCACTTGTTACCTTAAATTCTGTTTTGATATTTGTTGTCTCACCGAAACCATTTTTGTAAGTTTTGATCGACTTACATCTTCACAACTAAAACGATTACGAAGGATGAAAGAAAGCATGTACAAGGAGAAGAACTCTAATGAAGTTCGTAAGCTAAATGGTGTAATAAACCTAGAGATTAGACGTCTCAACTGTATGTTTACTCAAAAGATCTTATCTTGCAAAAGCTCTCCAAGTATGTGGAAATTCTTTAAAGAACTAACAGGTGACAGAAAGTTTAGAATCGATAACCACCTGAATGTTTGTAACTTAAATAAGTCTTTTGTACGTCAGTCATCTGATGTGATGCTCCCTCTATCCACGGGTTTAAAAACTAGCTGTGTTCCTACTTTCACTGAAACTGATGTACGAGGATGTCTCCAGTCGCTTAATCCATCTCGATGTTTGGGACCTGATGGTATCCCAGACATCCTTTTTAAAAAGTGTACTGACGTCTTATGCTATCCGTTCACAACTATCTTCAACAGATCCTTCACATCTAATCTCATACCGAAAATGTGGAGAAAGATGAAGATAATTCCTGTACCCAAGAAAGCATTTGGTGATAAGAATGTGAAATTTAGATCTATTGCAATAACTTCACCCTTCCACGAAACAATGGAAAAATGATTAACACTTCCAATTCAGCCTGCGATAAAGGAGCATATTGATCCATATCAGTTTGCTTACAGATGCAAAAGAAGCACCTTAGATGCTGTTGCTGTTCTGCATCACAACATAGTGTTCAACTTAGAAAAGGGTCAAAAGTATGTTCGATGTGCTTTTCTGGACTATACTTCAGCTTTTGACTCTATAACAAGACAACGTTTACTTAACAAGTTAATCAGCGTCAACACTGACAGCTGGATAACCAAGTGGCTGTGTTCCTACCTCTCTGGAAGGGAACAGTATACTGTATTTGGAGGGAAGTGTTCAGAGTCTCCGCTGTCTCATGAAGGTGTACCACAAGGAGTTGTTCTTCCACCTCTTCTATTCTCTTTTTTTCTGCATGACCTGCCATCTTCCACAGAAAACACTTTTGTGAAGTATGCGGATGATCTCACTGTATGTATGCCTATATCTTCCTCTTTACATCCCATAAAAATGAATGAGTTTTTGTCTCGTATTAATTGTTGGTCTGTTGGTAATGGTCTCATACTTAATCCGTCTGAATGTCAAGCTGTTAACTTTAGCATGAGACATGAACGGAATATGAACACTATTTTGAGATCCCATAGTGCTTGTACCATCGGAGACTCTTTGATAAACTCAGTGTCGAAGGTCAATTATCTTGGTGTCACCTTTTTCTCTGATCTGTCTTGGTCTTCCGACGTTTTATCGTTATGGAAGAAGTTTTTCCGTCTGACTTACTACATAAAGAGATTACATGCCCTTGGGATTACTCGTCACTGACTCATACAATTTGTAAATTCTTGCATATTATCTATTATTCTTCACTGTTCTCCATTATTCATTCTCGGGCTTTTGAGAAAAGACTTTGCTGTATTACGAAAAGTGCTGAAGGCAGTTAGCAAGGTGTGTGGTGAATCTTTCGAGGTCATAATTAATATGGTTGTGGATAGACATTTAAAATCATGCAAACTCCTGGCAGGTGTCATTTTATCAGATACTAGCCATCCCCTTAACTCTTATCTTTCTCCTTGTATATCCTCTGGTAGAACGAGACGTAATTACATTAAAATCCATGCACGCAAGGAAAAGTATAAAAGTTCTATAATACCTTACCTAGCAAATATACTCTGTGACGAACAGGTTGTTAGAATTAACCTAGTCTATAACTTACATTGCTAACATGTCTTTAATTTTAAAAAGTTTGTACAGTTTTTTTGGTTTTTTTAATTTTTTAATTTTTTATTTTTTTAAAAACCTTTTTTAATTTCTTTTTGTGTTTGCTACTGCTTTTTTGTTCGTTGTTCAGTAAGTAACTTGTTGAAATACCCTGTGCTGAGAATTCTATATTGTACTAAAATATAATATTGAATAAAGCCATTATTAATAAAAAAACAGAGGGATAGATGAGTAGAGTATTTCGAGGAAATACTGAATAGGCCGGCTCCAATGAATCCACCGGACAGTGAAGCAGCACACACAAATCTTCCCATAGATGTCAATTCACCAACGACGGAAGAAATCAGAATGGCCATCAGTCAAATCAAGAGCGGTAGAGCAGCAGGACCCGACAATATACAAGCTGAAGCAGTGAAGTTAGACATCGAAGTAACTACAAACATGCTTCACCTTCTATTTAAAAAGATTTGGGAGGAGGAACAAGTGCCGATGGACCGGAAAGAAGGACACCTCATCAAGATTCCAAAGAAAAAAGATTTGAGCAAATGTGAAAACTACAGAGGCATTACACTACTGTCAATACCAGGGAAAGTCTTTAACAGATTGTTGCTGAACCGGATGAAGGATGCAGTAGATGCCCAACTTCGAGATCAACAAGCTGGATTCCGAAAGGATCGGTCGTGCACAGACCAAATTGCAACACTACGGATCATCGTCGAACAATCAATTGAGTGGAACTTGTCACTGTACATCATTTTCATTTATTATGAAAAGGCATTTGACAGTGTACATAAGAGGACGTTATGGAAACTTTGACACTACGAAGAAGATCGTCAGTACCATCCGGAACTCATACGACGGATTACAGTGCAAGGTCGTGTATGGAGGACAGCTGACAGATGCATTCCAAGTAAGGACCTGAGTCAGACAAGGCTGTTTACTCTCTCCCTTCCTCTTTCTTTTGGTGGTTGACTGGATTATAAAGACCTCAACATCTGAAGGAAAACACGGCATACAATGGACAGCTCAGAATCAATTAGACGATTTGGACTTCGCAGATGATCTAGCCCTCCTATCGCGTACACACGAACAAATGCAGATGAAGACAGCCAGTGTAGCAGCAGTCTCTGCATCAGAAGACCTCAGTATACACAAGGGAAAAACCAAGGTCCTCAAATTCAAAGCGGAGAACAGAAATCCAATCACTCTTGATGGCGAAACTCTGGAAGACGTAGAGTCCTTCACATACTTAGGAAGCATCGTCGATGGACAAGGAAGTTCAGATGCAGAAGTAAAGGTAAGGATTGACAGAGCAAGGGTCGCATTCCTTCAATTGAAGAACATATGGAAGTCAAAACAGCTTTCAACCAATATCAAGGTGAGAATCTTCAATACCAACGTCAAGGCAGTTCTACTGTATGGAGCTGAAACTTGGAGAACTACAATAACCACAATCAGGAAAGTACAAGTATTTATAAATAGCTGTCTACGCAAGATACTCAATGTCCGTTGTTGGCCGGATACCATCAGCAACAGCCTTTTGTGGGAGAGAACAAACCAGCTTTCGGCTGAAGGGGAAATTAAGAAAAGATGATAGAAATGGATAAGACATATATTACGCGAATCATTAAACTGCAGCACGAGGCAATTCCTAACTTGAAATCCTGAAGAGAAGCTGAAAAGAGGAAGGCCAAAGAAAACATTACGTTGGGAAATCGAAGCAGATATGAAAAGGATGAATAATGACTGGAAGGAGCTGGAAAGGATTGCTCATGACAAGGTTGGCTGGAGAATGCTGGTGAGCGGCCTATGTTCCGCCACGAGGAGTAACAGGCGTAAGTAGATAAGTGAGCTGCAAACAGATTGCTATTCAAAACTTCGGACTTCTTAGCCATAAAGGCTGACAATGACACGTGGAGTAGTAAAAAAAGTTTACGATTTCGGCTACACTACAAGATCAACTAGGCCAGATCTTTCTCTTAATGATCTAACAAAATATAAAGTATCCTGATCATTATCCTTGGAACTAATGTACAAGTGATCCGTTGCGCTTATTTTTATTGTTTTCTGGAATAAAAACCTACAAAGACACAAAGGTTTTAAAACTCATTACTTGATGGCGAATTGCGTGTATACATTACAAACATGTGCGCTACTGTTGGTAATGTGTCTGAAGTGAAGGAGTGCTTTGTCTTTACTGAGTTCAGACATTATGATCAGGTTATGAAGTTGATATCAAACATAAAGTTTGAACTGTCGGATTTTCGCAAGAAAGAGAACTTGGAGGATACACTTGTCCGTATGTATTTTACATTCCCTTGGTTGATAGATAGAAATATTCAACTATTACCAGGAGCAGCCACATCTGCTTGATCCTTATCTTGGAAAAATGATATCAGCTTGCCTGGATGTTGTGCACTGTTCTCGCTCAGAGCCTGAAGTTTTTCACTTCGCGTTCAGGATCTTATATTTAATGACAAAAACCCGAGGTTACAAGGCTATTATCCGTTTGATGCCACATACGGTTGATGATATTGAACCAACTTTAAGTCTTCTCATGGAGCAAGATATAAATGATTCAAAGGTACTGTTTGTATGTTTCCAATACGTAAATCCATCCCTAGAACTGGGAGACGCGCTATGTTCTTATCCTTTGGTTATCAATCTTGGTAATGGTCCCATTCAACTTGGGAAATCTTGACAGTTTTGGAAAAAAACCTATAATTGAGCGTGTAATTGATTTAGCCAAGCTCTACCTTTTTCAGGATGAGCGTACTCAAGAAGCAGCTGCTTTCCTTCTTGCGCATACTGTTACCCGGCCAGATGCACTTCATGCCCAACTACCATCAATAATTTCGTTTGCAATTAAAAATCTAGGCTTTACTGATGGTAAGTGTGAAGTCTTTGGATTTTTGTTAAACAGTGTTATAGATTGACTGAAACTTGTTAATCTGTTTGTTGAAACACTCCAGTCGTTACGTTTGTATTTCTTTAATATCCCTGTATGTTTGTATCAGCACGATTTTTTTAAAGTTAAATTTGATCATTGGAACGTAAATATGCGCGAATTTTCTATTTTTGTTATTGTGCAGCAAAGATTCATCCGTCGTTGGCTACTAATTCCAAAATATCGTGTCAGTCAGTCTGTCAGCTACAACGTAGGACCAGGCACATTTATGCATCGGTCCAAGTTGCCATACCTCATTAACACAACAAGATGGACACCGGATTCATAAAAGTAGTTAATTCAGAGGTGGTAATATATAAAAAAAAGATTGCAATAAGGATATAGTACAGGAAGAAAGAATTAGTTCGTAGAAAGAAAGATATGAAGCGATTTTAATCTCTTAGTTTAAGGGAAGACAGAAAGTGTATACACCGACGCCATTGTGATCGATTCTGAGCCATGTCACCAAGAGTCTCCAACCATTGGTTACGATAGTCACGCGGACCCCAACCAAGTAGTCTGCATCTACCAACATGGCTCAGACTAGAAGTTAGTGACTTTAAGCACTGATGCCACGTTTTGGTTTGGCCGCCCCTAACTTTCTTCCAACCATCCCGAACACCGGTTAGTATTGCACGTCGTGGTAATTGGTGTTCGGGCATACGTAACACGTGGCTCAACCATCTCCGTCGATGAAGATTCATAACCTCATAAACTGATTTACCATCATTACCTGATTCCCTGCGTCTAACCTCACTATTGCTTATACGGTGATCGCAGCAGACACCAGCAATATTTCTGAGGCATCTGTGGTCAAATACTAGTAGCTTACGAGTGTTTTATACTCTTAATGGCCAACTGACCAGCTGAACTATTTTCTGAAATGTTCCGCCCATCGTTCTAAACGTCTGGACTGAGAGTAGATGAGGGTGTCGTCTTTTTCCGAAATAGTCTGACTTACACTTGACTTATTAATTACAGTTTCTTTTATTAGTCTGTAGAGCTGTCTTGTGTTCCCTATAGCCGGATGCCTTTTCCATCTCTTTTGCTTTCGTTGCCCACCACTGCTCACGGTCGTTTCTTAGGCTTTTTCTTAACCTAGATCTGATTTGTTATCGCTCTTCATCGTGTTCAGAATCTGATGGGATGAATTTACGAGAATCCATCAGTGCAATAGACCATGAGGAAATCCATTGGTTCTTTGTAACCCTGTGGTTTAAATCACTGATAGATGTCACTGCTGTTTCCACAGCTGTTTGTATAGCTTTCCAAGCAACATCTGGGTCAGCCTAGTTTTCAGAACTACCTAATTGTGACCTCAGTTCTTCCTGGAACCTACTTTTGGTTTCCTCGTTACTCAATTCAGTTTTAATGGGTCTTTTTACCGTGGCTTTTTTGGGTTCAGTGATGCGCAAGCAGATGCGTACCCGTATTAGGGTGTGGTCGGAGTCCAAGCAGGTACTCCAGAATGAGCGACAATCTTCTACCGACCCTCTCCAACGACGACTGATGGCAATATGGTCTATTTGAGTCCATCGTTGGTTTGGTGTAGGGGGTCGCCATGTTAGACGATGTCTCTCCTTATGCTTAAAATTTGTGTTTGGTAAAAATAAACGATTGTCTGAGCACAGTTGCAGCAGACGATCACCATTATCTGTTCGTTGTGGCGGAATGCTAAAATACCCACCTAACTGCCTTTCTGTTTGGTTTAAACTACCTATTTGGGCATTAAAGTCGCCTGCTACAAGTGCTATGTCTGAACGTTTAGCTTTCTGAAGAAGTTCAGATAGCTTTCTGTAAAATTCATCTTTCACTTCATCTGAACTGCAGTCGGTGGGAGCGTAGGCAGAAACGACAAAAAGGCAACGACGTGTGTCCCTATCCTTCCGTGTTTTTACGGAGCTGTTTAGCCGAACAGCACATAAACGACTGTTGACGGGGATCCACTCTAACAGTGCTTGTTCCGCCCTCATGCTTAGTGCTATCCCTACTCCTGCCAGTCCACGAGAGCTGGTCATCGCGTCACCAGATACACAGAGGGTGTATCTCGTTGGCTCTCCGTGTTGCCGAGGTGAGGTCAAGTGAATGACCACACTGGGATCCTGTATGCGTGTTTCAGAGACACAGCATACATCAATGATAAGAAACTCTAGGGTTTTAGACAAGGAAGCCTGTTGACCGATTAGACATAGGGTGCGTACGTTGAAGGCTCCAATGTGTAGTTTGGAGCGAGGTCTCAGTAGATCTGGGCCAGTGTTTTGAGCACTAGAATCGTTGGCTATGGTGACACTTGAGGTGGAAGCCGAGAGAGGAAATTTAAAGGTGAAAGTCGATGTAGGAGGAATAATAGGAATTGAAGAGGAAGGTTGATTATGAATACAGTGGTCTTGAGTGCTGTTAGAGGTATGAGTGCGGTTTTCACTTCCCGGTTGCCCACACCGTGGAAGGGTTGTTCTGGGGGTACCTGAAAAGGAATTTGGATTAAAGGTGGTCTTAGTGACCTGAGAGCGTGACCGCAGTGCCCAAGGGACAACTGCTTGAGGTCGGTCACACACGACCTTTTTATGGGTAATTTTTGTGTTAACTCCGTACTTGTTGAGACCTTACCGCCGGATATGGATATCCGTGGGATAAGGCGAGGTGTGCATTTTTAGGGTCGACCTTTTCTAACCCCACCCCTCCTTGTGGGAAGGCAGCATCGCTGCTATGCTGGTTGTCTGAAGGAAACACCTTACTGCTGTCATACCTCTGTACAGTCAGCAGTACGACTTCGCCTTCGGACCTTGGGTTTGCTGCTTTTAGTCTTACCGCTCTTCAACCGACCTGTCTGACATGGTAGGACCTTGAGGAACGGTTATTCCAGCCAATATAGCTCGGTTGCTTCATCACGATAGGCAAGCCCGACTACCACGTCAAGGTAGCAACAAAGGTCGGGTCCAGAATATCATAGAATTAAACCACCCTTTTTCGTTTGGGCAGTCGAGTACTATCACTAACCCTCGCATCTGATGTGGCTGAAGTCAAGCACATAAACTCGCACATAGTTAAAAAGTTCAGTATTCTATGTATCTATGAGTAAGCGATAAGTAAATTGAGGATGGTAGTATATTACAGATTTTTGCAGAATATTTCTGGGTAGCTTTAAATACCGAAAGCTTTCATGTTGCACCCTGGCTATTGTCTTCCATTGCTCGTATATCATGGGACCATCGAGTAAGTAACACAGTTGTTAAGAAACGGGTACTAGGTAAGGATGGCAAATCAATTGATGAAGTAGTGAAACTGCATCAGTTGAGATGGCTGGGACACGTTACGTATGCCCAACGACCGACTACCTCGACGTGCTATGTTCAGTGGTATAGGAGTAGGTTGGAAGAAAGCTAGAGGCGGCCAAACCAAAACACGGCACAAGTGCATGAAGTCACTGACAAGTGGACTGAGTCATGTTGGTAGGTGTAGACTACCTGGTTGGGGACCACGAGATGATAGCAACCGATGGTTAGAGACCCTGAATGACATGGCTCAAAATGGTTTGCAATGGCGCAGGTGCATCCATTCTTTGTGTTCTCCCAGATTCTAATCTTCTGAATTCTCCATGTCCCTTTTTTCCTCTTTCCAAATTTATTTCACTGGATTATACTCTTTAAATAACATCTCCAAACCCTAATCTTCCCGATTACTGCTTATACTCTTGCTACCTCTACCACTACGGGATTTGAATCGACAACTGCATCTCTGTGCTAATGTGGTGTGGCAACTCGAACTGATGTACGTACGTACGTACGTACGTTCTACGTTGTTACTGACTGACTGACTGTAATAAATGTAGGTTGTTTGTTTATTTCAGGGTAACTGACTGGTGGAACAAGCGATCTTAGTAACACCCTTTTCAAACTCTATAATTAGAAATATTTGTTAACTCTCAGCGTAAGACACCACTGAGGTTTGTAATAAATATGGCTTGTCATAGATTTAAAAACGGACTGGTTTTATTCCAGAGATATTGGTCTCGGCTATATACCAAGGGATATCTTTACACGACTACTTAATGTATCAAATAAAACTAGACATCGTTATTGAAATATGTAGTGAAAGTTTTTCACTTTCTATAAAAGGGTTAGGCGATAAGACAGAATATTCTACATATTTGTGACCTAGTTATCGAATTTAGTTCGCAGTCTGAGAATGACATGTACTGACTAGGTGTTTATAATTGCATCAAGGTTAAAACCCAGTAAATTACATTGTTATAAAAGGTACATATAGTCTTCGTTAATTTTTTATAGGACAAACCTGAAAGACTGGATCCCGTGGGAAATATCCGTACATATTTTTATAATTATAAATAAAGTAAAATAGTTCACTTCTTTACTTGAGACTTAGGTATGAGCCACACTCTAAATGTGGAATCAGTCAGTCAGTCAGTAACGACGTAGAACTTCGTATGTTCGTACATCAGTTCGAGTTGCCATACCATATTCTAAATGTGGAATCTAGTGACTGAAGGTTGAAAGCTTTCACAAACAAGCCACTGCCCCGTGAGAAACGAGCTCCTGAAAGTTTAGTAAATGTTATCTGCTGACATTGTAACTGGATAAATTAGGGGCGAACTCACGCTGCTCATTAAAGACTGGTTGCTCTAGTTTCATGTCCACTTAACTGTCATGAACTACTTTTTTAGTTAATGCAAAATAGCAAACTCTGTGCTTTGGGATGTTATCAGGCATAACTTAGAATGAGTTTGATTTAGTATTTACTACTCGTATGTATCACATTCTGTTTTACTTCTTTACAGCTTTGTCATTTCGTTTTGCGTAAAGCATTTAGAGCCATTCTTACTTAGTTTCCATGGTAATAAAGGGAGCTTAGTAGTTTAGGCGTTAGACTTCCAACCACCATTTATTTGAGGGCCCCTCATTCACTACAAACAGTTTAAATTTACAACGAATTATGTGATTAGAAATAAATGATTAATATACTTCGGTCACACAAAAATTTTAAAACGAGACAGTACGCAAAAGATTAAGACCTAAAAGTGATATTTCCAAGTGGATTTGAGCTTAATGGTTAACTACACGTAAGAAGTCTATCCTTGAAAAGTAGAGTGCATAACCTGGGGGCTTGGTTAGGGTCATGAAGTGGTTATCTCTAAGGTCTTTAAATTAATTAAAAAAAAACATATCTACTTGGCTTTGAAGTGGCCTCTGGGATCAAGCATCTCTTGTCTAATCTGTGAATACAAGCAAAACCATGATTAGCTCCTATGTATTTGGTGTCTGTTATCATTAAAATTACTATTATTTCAAAACCTAGTTAACTTTACTAGTGTGAAGTTTGGTAACTTTAGCCAGTGCAGTTTTTACTAGGCTCTACTTATGTTGGAGAGAACAAGAAGCCTTTTTTGGGGAATATTGCTCTAAAATTTCACGAAAATTATCAATCAACCATCTTATTTTGTTTCAGCTGATATATATATATATATATATATATATATATATATATATATAGAATCGACCCACGATATATTTGTTTGAATTTTTCCTGATTCATGGGATTAGTGATTTCATTTAATAATCGAATTAAGTATTTAAAATATATTTTATTTATCTACTTTTTTTGTCAACTATATTTGACCTTTAAATATCGTTTACTGAACTAGTAGTTTTTAAAAATGTTAACCCTAGTTATCAACGTACAAGACGAAAAGCGAGTATGCGGCACCCTCAGAAGTATAGCTAATATATGTAAACTCGGAAGCCGCGCTGAATTGTTACCTTATGCGAGTGATCTTTTGGGTGCAGTACTTCAGTTGCCTGGAGATTCTTCTAAGGGGATTCTTCTATGTCGTCTTGAAACGAAAGTTTTACAACGAATTTGTTTGTTATTTTGCCCACCAATAAATACAACATGGCAGTACCAACGAGGATGTCGATCACTACAAGACAACTTAGAATCTCTTTTAATGAATCATGACAACAAAGATTCTTTAGTCTCTGCAAAAGTTGCTGATCATTCGTTATACACAGGTTTTCAAAATAATATCTCAAGTGATATTTCTGGGGATTGTTCATTAACTATGAACTATGAATTGTCCAACACAGACGAAGTTGCAGAAGTTATTGATAAACTAATAAGCGCTTTACGCAGTCAATTTACTGGGGTTCGTTGGTCTGCTGCCAAAGGGTAGGAAGCATATTTATTTTTTACAGTATACTTGTATGAGTTCGTCCTCCTGTTTACTTTTAATTTAGTAGTTTAAAATGAAATGTCCCACTTCATTTTTCAGCACTTGTATTGTTATAACATAAATACATCTACTACTGGTGGTTTATGCAAGAGCATACTTTCCATAATATTAGAAATGTTTAGTTTCTTTAGGTATAACAGACTTGCCACTACCAATTTATTGCAAGGTGGTGGTAAACAAAATGAGTCAAGAGAGTGTAAATGAAGAACAGATAAGTCAGTGATCAGAAACCATCATACATGTACAGTATGAAACATTTAAAAGTACTCTACACTTAAACTCTTTCCAGTGTTGCCGAACTCTGATAATAAATACAGTTCTCGAATACAACTCAGTTCATGTAAGCTTGATATCACACGACATGCATGGCTTGGTGGTGTTACTCAGCTGCTTAGACCAAGATAGATGAAACTTGGTTTAAATCAAGAGCTTAATATTCATGATTCCAGTACCTTCAACACGGAGCCACTAAGTTTAACTAAGTATCCTAATATAATGACGTTGATAAACTATGAAGCCTAGTTTCATAGACTATGGCAAACTGTATTTTAGATAGATGTTAGTGTCGCATTGTTTTTCAAATAGGATTAAGTGTTTTATCATGTCACTGAATGTTGGTCACTTATAGGCACTAGCCATTTTTATATTAAATGCTAAAGTAACGATATCTGAATTTCGTTTCATCCCAGTGAATTATATTTACAGAATTGCATTCCATAAATTGTGGACAATGGATGTGCTTTTTTTCTTAGGATCGGACGTATTTGTTCTCGTCTTTCCAGTTCAATGGTCAATGATGTTCTATCGGCTGTATTGTCCTTGTGTACAAAACTCGAACCATATACTGCATGGCATGGAGCTTGTCTTGCTTTGGCTGAACTTGGCCGTCGCAGTCTTCTTTTACCATCCAAATTACCAGAAGTAAATCTTTTGTTTTGATAGCGGATTAATTCAATGATAGGGACATATTTTTACTGGTAGTGTGCGAATCGATGACAAATATTACCCGTACCCTGAAAACCTTATATTTCACAGCCACGGAATATTAAAACGCAACACAACCGATGACTGAAAAATTAATATTTTACAAAAACTATCAGTTTGTTCACATTTTCAAGCACCTTAGAATTACAATGAAAAAGTGTTTAAGTGGTTTCTTTTGATTAGTCTAAAAACTTAATAAACTGTTCAGTAGCGTAGAAGCATGAATCAAAATATGGAGTAGAGAAAATTCTATTCCACCAATCTATGACATAAAAGTCTAGCTTCTTTTATGTCCTGTCTTGAAAGTTCTTTGAATTATTATTGCATTTCTGAAAATACGATAGTACTGGTCCAGTAAATTGTAAGACAATGAGCAGATATATCCTTTGGAAGAAGAACAGGTGGTGTTACTTTCACACCTCTGTAATGAGGCATATAATTAGACTGAAGGTTACTTCAATTTACTGTATGAAACTATATATATATATATATATATATATATATATATATATATATATATATATATATTGCCCAGATAATGGTACCAAGTGTAATTTTAGGAAATGTTTTTGATGACCAATAAATCTACGTACTGAAGTGATTTACGTTGTAGTGTCAGTTATTATACCAAGCCCATATACCTTATTCTAGCTTCCGGACATCCCAATTTATTCATTCTACTCGAGCCATACTTTGACCTTGTTATTTATTTGCTTATCAAGCTAGACTGTTTTTATATGAGCGTATATGTGAGTGCCCTTCTTATCCTATTAATCACATGTCTGTAGCTCTATTTTGTCTGACTATAAATATTGAGTAACGCTTGACAAAGATGGAGTTGGCTTCCCAGCCATCTTCCATACGTGTCATTTCGCTTTGCTTTGCTTCATTCGCTTCATGTACAAAATATATGTATTCTCAAGTCGATTCTCGTTATTCGACTTATTTAATTCCGTTATTGGATAACGCGAATTAAGTCGACGATTATATACGAGAATAGGTGATAGCGAACATTCGTACGCTCTAAATGGAGTCAGATCAACGGGCCGCTAAAACGTATGGAAATTCAGTGTAGATCCAGTATCATATTGATATATTGAATTAAAATAGACTTATTATTTGCGAACTTGACTGTTTTAACTATCCTCTGATTACATATTGATTAAATAATAGGCTTTTCATTTCTAGGTAATCCCAGTAGTTTTACGAGCTCTGTTTTATGATGAGCGGTCTGGTGATCATAATTATGGATCAAATGTTCGAGATGCTGGGTGTTATGTGTGTTGGGCATTCGCAAGGGCATATCATCCTAAGGATTTCGTGGATTATGTCGTTCCTATTGCAAGCTCTCTAGTCTTGGTTAGCCTATTCGACCGAGAGGTTAGTGTACGTCGAGCAGCGTCTGCTGCATTTCAAGAGAACGTGGGTAGACAGGTTAGTGCCACAATTTTTATTTTTGAATCAGCTAATCGTACTGTTTTTATTAATTAACACACAAAGTACTGTTGGAATTATTTCGTTAGGCTTTGATATCATTGTATCATATCGCAAAATTAACGTGTATGATTACTATCAACGCTTACTTTTGTCAAAAGCAGTGGTAATATTAACACAACACAAACATTTCAGCCATTTAGAGCTCAGTTAATTAGTGTATGTATGATATGGACGAATTAATTTAAACCATATATTGTTTTTTATCTCATGAGGAAAACTTGAAGTTAATATGCGTACATCCCACTTAATAAAGCTTAGACCCACTATCAGCTGGTCAAATCTAGGAAGGCAAAGTTGGATTGACATCAGCTGCCCATTTGTTGAAAGTCGTGTTAAAAGCACTAAGGCACAATTCCACTGGTCTGTCTGTGAATATGTTCGCTAGTAGCTTGGTGGTTAAAGGGACTAAATTTTAGTCTCTAGATCGTTGTTTCGAGTCCCAGCCCACCTACTTCGGTTTGAACAATCGAGTAGTTTCACGAAACCCTAATATGTAAACTGTATATCAAAACTGAGTACACAAATATGCACCTGGTCATCACAGTCGCTAATATTAATTTACTCAGTCACCTGTTACGTATACCTTAACCTAAAGTTTGAGTTTGCTTGTTTGTAAATTAACAAGTAAAATGCGTGAAGAAAATCGGACAGTGCAAACACCAAAGATTCAAAGTTCTGTTAAACTTCACCATTTACGTTGAATAAATTAATTAAATTGTCATGCTTATCGATAGGTGTGCAGCAATGATAATAACCAGTTTTCAAGTCAAGACGACCGGGAAGACGCCACTAAATCAGAATTTGTTCTCGTTGACTTTTCACGAAACGTTGGTATAAAAAATCCTACTGTTTACAAAATGGAATGTCTTTGGTACTTAGGTCCTATTATCTACTCTTACTGATTGGATAATAAGTTTCACATATAATTGTACGTCATCCTATATCCTCCGCCTCAAGGAATATGGTAACTACGGAGCAGCTGAAGATTTCAGTTGACGTTAGAAATAGACCCGAGGATGTATTATTTATTGGTTTAAGGATTCGACTTTGTTATAATCTCAGTTTTCTTCTTACGGTTATGACCCAGCTATTCCTATTGCTTAGTATTCTTGGACACCGATTCACTCGACAAGTCCCCAAATGAGAACACGGTTGAACAGGAAAGAGATTATATTCCAAATAGCAAGTCAGAAGCACAATAGGGAAAAACGTCAGTATATTTATAGTTTTTACATAAGAAGATTCCAGAGTATTCTCCAACTATCGACTAGTGCTGATTGGATAAGAATTAGCCAATCAGCGTGCACCAAGGCAATCATGCATTGAGCATGCTTTAATCTAGTCTATGTCCCGCTAATACCTCCCCTCTGAGCAGATTCGTAGGATCTGGTGCTAGGGTCCAACTGCAACCGAGTGACTGGCCTGTGCTTTCGATTAGTCCATCGTCTAGGCAATAAAGAAGCATCACTCTTTTCTTGCACAGAAACTGATGTATCTATTCCCGGCGTTTTGATTTCAAAGGTGTCTAGCAGAACATCAAGAGGTAATTGACATTGAATCTTGTTGCTGGCTATCGAGGTTGCTTTCAATTGGTTAGCATGACGTACCCAAACTTCCGAGCCAACTGACACCTCGTAAACCACATTCCCCTTCTTTTTCAAGATCCGACCAGCTGTCCATGTAGGATGTTTCCCACGATAGTCCATAGCAAGCACTTTTTGTCCCACCGTGAACAATCGTCTTTGTGCCCCATGATGTCGGTTAAACTGATTCCCCATCGATAGGTTTCGTTGGGGCTCAATAGCTGGCGTAGGACGGATGACATCGAAATGTGTACGTATCTTTCTGCCATGTAGAGCTTCTGCTGGAGAGAGCCCGTTAATTGTCTGAGGGTTCGGTGTAGAACGATAAATAAACAGGAACCTCTCTAAGATATCTTTAGTGGTCCCTTCCCCTTTGGATTTTTTTAGAGCATTTTTAAATGTACTCACAAAGCGTTCCACTTGGCCATTTCATTGGGGATGGAATGGAGGTGTTCGGACGTGCTGGATTCCGTTCTGCCGACAAAATTGTGAGAAGATTTCGGACGTAAACTGTGTTCCGTTGTCACTAACTATCAATTCCGGGATTCCAAAACGACTGAATAGTTGACGTAGTTTACTGACTGTGCAGCTTGCAGTCGAGTGTTCCATGAGAAAAATTTCTGGCCACTTGCTATATGCATCAACCACCAAAAGGTAAGTTTGTCCATGAAGTGGACCAGCAAAGTCCAAATGTATACGCTGCCACGGTGACTGTGGTATTGGCCATGATTGCAGCTCTGCTTTTCGCGGTGCTTTTGTTGCTAATGCACATTTGGTATACGAACGGGATAGCTGCTCCAGTTAGGTGTCTAAATGCGGCCAGTATACATAACTTCGTGCTAGTGCTTTCATGCGATTTATTCCAGGATGTCCTGCATGCAACTGTTCAAGCACTGCTGGTTGTAGCTTCTTGGGAATTATGACACGTTCGGCAAACAGCAGACAGTCATCGATGATTGAAAGAGAGAGTCTTCGCTGGTAAAACTGTTGAAGCTCTGTGGAATAGATTTTCGAAGGCCACCCTTCTAGGTGGAACTTTCTAACTTCTTGTAGTGTTGGGTCTCGAAGCGTTTCTTCCCTGACTTCATCTGACGACACTGGAGTGTTTCGAATGGCATCTGCCACTATACTTCGTATTTCTGGGTCTACTGTTGTGGAGGCAATGATTATATCCTCTGGTCCAGGATGTTGAACTCCAATTAATCGGGAGAGAGCGTCAGCTTGACCGATAGTATTTGTCGACTGATACTTGATATTAAAATCATAACTCAGGAGCATTGTTGCCCAGCGCTGTAGTCTATTAGCCGTATAGACAGGGATTCCTTTCTTAGACCCAAAGATTGCAATCAAAGGTTTGTGATCTGTCAGTAGAGTAAATGTTCGACCATAGAGCATTTTATGAAATCTTTTGACTGCGAAAATGATTGCAAGAGCTTCCTTTTCAATTTGGCTGTAGTTTCGCTCGGCTGGAGTAAGTGATCTAGCAGCATGGGCAATTGTCTTCTCTGATTTATCCGGAAACACGTGAGATATCACTGCTCCAACTTCATGACTAGAGGCATCAGATGCAACAACAATTTCCAAGCTGGGATCGAAGTGCGTCAAAAGAATCTTTGAGCTGAGCATTGATTTGACTCTGTCAAAAGATGCTTGACATTCTGCTGACCACTGCCAAGGTTTATCTTTCGATAGTAATTCATTTAGGGGACCTCTCACTCGGTGCATTTCAGGCAAGAATGTGCTGTAATGACTGATTAACCCCAAGAAGGATCTTAATGAAGAAACATCAGTTGGTGCAGGCATCTTCTGAATGGCTTCGATGTTGGCAGGGTCTGGTCGGCGACCGTTCTTATCTAAGATATAACCAAGGTATTTGATCGAATGCATGAAGAAGATAAATTTTTCCTCACGTAGTTGGAAACCATACTCCAACACTCGGTTAAGGACTTGGTGTAGTCGATCAGAAAGTTCACTGTCAGTTGAACCCATAACTATGATATCATCTAGATAAGCTGCTGTACCAGGTATACCTGTTAGCATCGTATCCATTATTTGCTGAAAAATGGCGGGTGCGGTCTTGATGCCAAATGGTAGACGGGTGTATTGAAATAACCCTCGATGAGTGTTAATGGTCAGAAGCTCTCTACTATCTTCATCTACTTCCACTTGGAGATAAGCATCGAAGTCTATTTTCGCGAAACATGTCCCACCATTAAGCTTGGCAAACACGTCTTCCGGAACTGGTAAGGAATATTGATATACATCTAATGCAGCATTTAAACCGGTCGAGAAATCGGCACATATGCGTATAGTCCCATTGGCCTTCTTAATCACTACAATCGGTGCGGCCCATGCAGAGTAGTTAACTGGTCGGATTACACCAGCCTGCTGCAAGCGATTAAGTTCCTGGTCGACTAGCTCAAGAGCAGCATATGGTACAGGACGTCTCGGGCGAAAAATAGGTATGGCATCTGGTTTCACTGGTAAGTGCGCTTTCATCTTGGTACAGTGGCCAAGGCTATTCTGACAAACAGAGGCAAACTTTCTTTTCAGTTTTTCTAGTAACCGTTCACCTGTCTTCTTTGGAAGTAATGGGGTGTCCAATGATGAACACGATACGTTACAGACACTGTTAATTGGTATATCCATTATTCCAAGTTTGTCTAGCATATCTAGACCAAGAAGATCAAGGTTCGACCGTTCTGTTAGGTAACATATTCCTGTACAGTTAGTTCCATTGAAGGAAAATTCACACTGTAATTCACCAACCAGTTTTAGCACACCACCTGATGCGTTTTAGCCGTTTTCTTAGATGGCTTCATTGGCGGTTTACCCAGCAAGTTATACGTTTCTCTAGACACTAACGTGATATCTGATGCCGTGTCAATTTGAAGACGAGCTGATATGCCGTTTATCTGGATGGTAACATACTTTCTCTGAATGTCATAGTTTGTTTGAAAGGCAGCTACTAAAGAAAGAGATTTGGACTCGGCTGACATATCTTCCTCAGTTTTATAAGAAATTTCATCAAAATTACATGCATTATTCTGAGAACCCATATCTGATACATGATCATTAAAAATCGGATAAGCTGATTCGGTATAAATTTCTGTCTCACAATGATTTTGAGTAACATTCAGTATATTTGGGTTCATCGTGTCACTGCAGTTATTTTCTGAATACGAGTCCCCATAGCTCTTTCGGCTAATATCACGTGGACCATAATTTTGTTCTAGCTGAAGTTTATTTTCAGAGCTAGACAGGACCAGTAGTGTTTCATTCAATTCTGGACTCCGGGCTTCATCTACAGGGTCTGGCTCTTGATCATTTCGTATTGCCACAACTTTATGAGCATTCAGCACAGTATTTTCTTGCTGTGAGCCGGACACGTTACAAATATTACGTTCTGATTCAGGTATAAAGGGATTTGAACCCTCCACTAGATATGCTTCTGAAATGTCTGTTACTGCATCATAAACAGATTTCTTATTTTCTGGTTGAGTGAAAAGTGTGCTCAATAGTTGTTGTTGCAAGGCTAACAACTTCTGCTGGTGCGGTAATATTAACCCCAACTGTTCTAAAGAAATCGCCATTTTTCTTTAGCTTTTCCCCGTCGCCACTGTTATAATCTCAGTTTTCTTCTTACGGTTATGACCCAGCTATTCCTATTGCTTAGTATTCTTGGACACCGATTCACTCGACAAGTCCCCAAATGAGAACACGGTTGAACAGGAAAGAGATTATATTCCAAATAGCAAGTCAGAAGCACAATAGGGAAAAACGTCAGTATATTTATAGTTTTTACATAAGAAGATTCCAGAGTATTCTCCAACTATCGACTAGTGCTGATTGGATAAGAATTAGCCAATCAGCGTGCACCAAGGCAATCATGCATTGAGCATGCTTTAATCTAGTCTATGTCCCGCTAACAGACTTTCAACCAATAAATTTCAGATCTGAACACATCCTTATCTACTTCCGTGTGTCCAGTCGGGTCCTATCACAAAGGAGACAATCGTAATCTTTTGTTGGTAATTGGTTCCATTGACACCAGTGTATTCATTTTTTATTTTCTCGTAGATCTTACGCTTTGATGTCATTTCACGATTTCCTTCATTGTCTTCATTTGTATTTTTCAAGTTAGAGTTTCCATTATATCGGCATTCTTTTTGTCTTGTTTACTATATTTTGATTGTACTTATGTACACTATGGGAATTCGGGTGGATGCACGTTCGTGCTAGATTTTACATTGTTTGTGATTGATGTAGATGTTTAATACACGATCTAAATCTATTTTGTTCCAAGAGCGAAATAAAATATATCATTTACTGATTTCAAGTTCTTCGACGACACTGATTTGGTTAGATATATTTAATATTTTGCTGACTAATTATTTTCACTTGTGTTACTGCAGATAGAAAAAGCTCTGTACCTGATGGTAAGCTTTCAAGAGCATCACCTTCTTAACAAAAATTTTCTACCATCAATTCCAAACGAATGTTGATATGATCATTCGCTTGGTCCATATACACGTTATATAAGTTATATAAATATTTTCTAATCAACAGATACCCCAGTTGTTATGTTCGGATTTGTTCCTATTGTTAATTATTATTATACCATTATTATTTATATACATGTATATACATATATTCTTATCTACAAATAGGGTCATTTTCCACATGGAATTGAAGTCCTCACTACATGTGATTATTTCAGTGTGGGAAATCGTGCTCACTGTTACCTTCAGTTGAGGTTAGTTGAAAAAACAATCGTATTAAGATGGAGTGAATTTATTATATTCGTCTCTTTTGTTAGAGATTTCAAGTAATTTGAAAATATACTCAAGTGTTAAATGCATGTAACCTTCTGTGGAACTTTGTTTCATGTAATTTATTCATGTCTTTCAGATACTATGATAAATATGTACAAACCTATACTGAAAGACTAGTGCATGGAGAAATAGGTTTTTATAGGAACTGAAAAAGACAATAACCAATCTGGCATCGCGGCCTTAACTCTCTATGTTAAAGAGCTTACTGTAAAGACTAAGTTACAAATTTTTGATAATGAGTGTATTGTTTATTTTCTTTAAGGAACATATATTCTAATGCAATAGGGCACCAGAAAAATGCGTCACCCAGACTAAATGATAATCTTATGAAGAAATAATAGACAGCAATTTAGTATGGTCATTTTATTGATGGGAAACAATAGTGTGTGGTTTGAGATACAGTTCATTTAAAAATACGACCAAGAGAGACTCCATTCACTCAAAGGAGGTCACCTCACTTGTATGAAGACTGTAATGGAAAACTACTGCAAAATCACCACTGTATTCTGTTTTAAGCTATGACTAGTTATATCTCAAACCACTGAGCATTTCGACCGGCGAGTATTAAAGGAATAACAGATACCAGTTACTTGCAGCAGCCTCTCATATCACAGCTTCATGTTATTAATTGACCACTTTTTCCACCCACTCTCGGCGTTGGCAAATAATGAGTGATATAGGAGTTTAAGGGATGACATTTGTAAAATATTACCTGGCTGCTGAAATCGGTTTCTCAAAAGTTAGTTATTATCGCGGCTACTGGATACATATTTCTAACGTGGTGTTTACCCCGGATATGGGAAATCTTTCGGAAACAACGATGATGGCACACAGTCGTCGGACGTCGTCATCTTTGAGGAACTAAATTTTACTAAAGTAAGGCAAGATTGCCCTTACTGACACAACAGTGATGTTTTGTAACCGGACTGACATCACAACTTGACTGGAAATGCCCCAGATTGACGTAAAGCAATGTGGATTTTCCTATATATCTTTTCTCCTACTCTACCACCAACACTGGTTTTGGTAATTGCGTAATATTGCTAACCACACAAAATGCGACTTAGAGTCTAGTACAGAAAACTGTTTTAGGGAAATGATTTACCTCAGACGCTGATGGTTAAACGTTCATGAAAATAAAAAGGTAGCTAACTTGATAGGTTATTACATAGTTACTACCCTTGTTCAACCTATACAATTTTTATTTCTACTGTTTTTGTACTAATGATTAAATATATTTCTTGAAATTATTATTCAGTGTGTCTGTAGCTAAATTTAAAGAATATGTAGAACCGATGATTGGTCATTTGGTCAATGTTCGTCTTGGACATTGGGATGATTCAATCAGATATCTGGCTGCTTGTGCTTTAGGCAAACTATACATAGCTGATCCTGATTACATGATGGAAGTTGGTGAGTTTTATCTTATCCTAGTAAACATTTCCTCCAATCTTTTCTGCGTATAATTATGCTTATTTTGCCATTCTTTACATGCTGTAAATGTATTACCGTATTGACTAGTTCTTCGAGTGATTCAGACTTAATTATAATATTAAGGTTTAATTTAATTTCATCGTTAAATAGTATAGTTTATTCATCGGATTATTATAATCGTGTATTTGTTTGGTCTCATATTGTAATAGTCAGTCAATAAGTTACACGTTTGACTGTGCTAGATTTTATAAAAGCCATATTTACTAGTATTATACGGGTGATAACTGAGTCCCGACCGAAGCTGTTACCTTGACGCGGTGTTCGGGCTTGCCTATCGTGATGACCCAACCGAGCTATATTGGCTGGAACATATGTTCCTGTAGGTTCTACCATGCCAGGCAGGTCGATTGGTGAACGGTAAGACTAAAAGCAGCAACTCAAGATCTGAGGGCGAAGTCGTACTGCTGACTGTAGAGAGGTGTGACAGCAGTAAGGTGTTTCCCTCGGACAACCAGCATGACAGCGATGCTGCCTTCCCACAAGGAGGGGTGGGGTTAGAAAAGGTCGACCCTAAAAATGTCACACCTCACCTTACCTCACGGATTTCCGTCTCCGGTGGTAAGGCCCTTTGAAGAACGGAGCTAACACGTCAAAAACCTTCCACAAAAGGGCCGTGCGCGACCGGCCTCAAGCAGTTGTCCCTTGGGCTCTGCGGCCACGCTCCCAGGTCGTCAAGACCAACACTAATCCAATTTCCTTTTCAGGTTCCTCAAGAAATACCCTTCCACGGTGTGGGCAGCCGGGAAGTGACATCGGGCCTCATACCCGTAACAGCACACGACTGACTGATAATTGAGTACATTAACTATCACATCTCAATACTGTTTTAGTGCGCTCACTATTTCCCTTCGTCTGGGTTATTGTCTTTCATAATACTTTGAACTAGCAGTCGTTATTCTGAAATTACTTAATTGCTATTCAGTAGGATCAATAAGGTATGCTAGCTAATTTGTTTATAATGTGGCTTCTTGTGTTTTTATGAATGATGATTTGAATGGGAACTAGTATAACTGATTCCATACGCTTGGTTTCTTAATATCATTGTTTTATGTAGGAGGATTTCGTGATTTGATAAGTGATTGTTCGCTCATTATCATTGAGTAGAATACTGATCGATCGACGATATGGAGGATCCACCCTGGGGGAGTTGGAAGGCCCTGATTCCAAACCAATGGTGAACATGCGCTCCAGGATCCTAAAGGAACAAATGGTGTATGAACCAATTTTCGGTCGCCGGCTACCATGGGACTGCATCTCCTGGCGTTACCCCGCTGCCCTGTGGATCAGACCTTTAAGTCAAGGGCTACGGGTGTGGCCCCCTGACAAAACCACCTGCTTCGGTCTGGGCACCCGGGTAGTATCATAGCCCACACACAAATCAAGCGACTTGTGTGGTGCATATGTATTCTGCACCCCTTTGTTCCGATATTTGTGTTCAAATAAATAGTTAGATAAATAAATGATACAATATGGTTGAGTGGTGGTTGCTCTAGGGACCGAATTATCGACTGATACCCCCTAAATGTTTTGGAAATATAGACAATATCATTAGTGAGAAGAATAGGTCTTTTTGTTTAATAATATGACATGCTTATATACAAAATAGGAACATGAAATAAAGATAATAAATTGTTATGGGGTATTAGAAGGAGCTTAACTTGTATGTCATTCACTCTCCAATCAATCAAGACCTGTTTGTTAGGCCCATGTATTACACATCATATAAGACTAACAACGTTTAGTAAAACCCACCAGTATATGTATAGGCGAAAACTAAAAATGATTGTATGGTACGGTCTTTATAATGTATTCATTGAGACAAATTACTTGTAACTATCAGCTCAAATCTAGTATGCTTCCTACTTATGAAGTAAAAAGCTATAGTTACACCTAAAAAGTTACGAGGATTAGTCATTACATAGGGTTAGAGTGAAGGCTACGTATTTTGTTTCGTATTCAACTGATACGTTATGTTTCCTTTTATGGGATCCTGAAAATTATTCAACTAAGCTACTTGAAGTGTTATCAGACATAACTACAACTGTGAAATCAGTCAATAATCTAAATTTTAAGTTATCTTTTCTTACCCTTATTAAGTAATAAGAAGTATTCATTTGCTTTTAAGTCTTGCCTCAGATCATCAATGGTTCAATTAAATCTACTCTACACAATCAACAAGGGTGTATATTTGGAACAGGTGAATTGTTATGTGCATCATCCAGGTTAGTGGTTTACTGATTGTACTATTTATATGTGCTATTGTGTGACCGTTTATTTGTAACATTCGTTATTATATATGTTGATCAATCGTTGTTAAATCAGTGAAACCGAGGAAAATAGTACTGGTTTAGGTTCACTGAATTATTTTATGCTATATGCATATGTATACGCCAGTCTATCATTGTTTAATTTACGTTAGTCATTTTCTGAATAACATTCAAATAAAATAAACTTTGGTCGCTTCATTAAATTTTACTTGACAGTGTTTGTCGACAGAATATTCTTTGTAATATTTAATCTTTAATCAAAGTTTTCTAAATGTAATTCGTCGATGCAGAGTTTTCCAACTTACGAAACTACATTTTTGTAAGAAATCGATGTTTATATTTATGTCCAATATATGTGGTGACATTTACAAGTTGGAGATTTAACTGTATGTAGAGGGGAAGGATTCTAGGCATAATGCAGAGACAATTACAATATCTAGTTTAACGAATGAAGACAATATTCTTGTGACTATAAGTTATAAGTTTGATTTTTTTATTGACTATTCTCTGTTACACAATGAAATCAAAACCAAGTTTAGATTAGTCCTGGAGAATGTTGTCACTGATGATAAAATAATCAACAATTATATCAGTATACATTAAAGAGGAAGAATGTATTTGTAAAATCTCAGTGAATGAATTTGAAGTTAACCCAACGTTTCGCCTGGCAACCTTGTCCAAGCTTTTTCAAGGAAATATAATCAAACATCAAAATTATCGAATATAAATAGGTATATGGTTCTCCGGTTCACTGTATACTGAATAGGCCATCTACTCAACGTTAACAATGTTTGAAGTATGTATTTGCATTAGTGTGTAAGCGACATGTGGTGTGAAACAAAGTGTTAAGACGACAGATTGTGTGTATAAGCAAGTGGTGTGAGAAGCAATTTCTCTGGTCGGTGAATTTTTTATTTATATAATATATAAACTTATATGTTTTCTTAAAATCCACCAACCAGAGAAATTGCTTCTCACACCACTTGCTTATACACACAATCTGTCGTCTCAAATTTAGACGAAAGTTTTTATATATCAGTATACATGCTAAAAATCCAACTGATAAATATTGAGGATTTATCAGAATAGTTTATTGTACAGTGTAGCGGCATTTTGAGTTGTCAGTTTCAACGTTTTAGTCTTCTTTTCTGTCACTGAGTAATAAGATAATTACTGATTGATCATTTGTATCCCGTTCTGTCTAGAAGATTTTCATTTTGAATGTTACACTTAATAAATAACTTAAAGGTTGAATTACAGTTACGTAATCATTGTTGATTATCTTATTTATAGGTTGTGAAGCAATAAACCAATTTGTAACAATACAACAATCTGTTTTATATAAGCCCAAATATATATATCTTCAAATAGACTGATTTTTTTTACGTAAAACAATTACTATAATCACACCAACAAATTCATCTGGATTGAAATTAAATGAGAAACAGTATTCTTGAATTTAATTATTATTTCTACATATCATATTCTACTGTTATTATTTCTGTTTTTTTCAGTTATGTTATAAATGAGGAAAATCTACTCAAGATTAAGGAAATTGTTCCAGCAGTAAGTTGAATTTCCATTCTCAATGATGCTTATTACATATTGTTTTGCATTTTTATGTGAATCTTTTGGACATAAAGATATATCCTGAATATAAGGTGGCTAAATACTGGTAGTGTTAGTAACAATGCTAGTAATGACTATAATGGCAATGATAATAATATTAATGATATTGTTGGGAAGGCTCCCAAAAAGTACGACGAAGTCTCCAGGGGCTCTAAAGGAGCCGAAGAGATTCTATTCAATCAGAATCTGACAGAACCTTCTAGAACATCAACGTCACATTCCATGATTAGACAATTGTATAACTTTCCTACTTGCGGATAGGCTGAGTTGTAATGATTTTATAGTTTATACTAAACCCGACCGAAGCTGCTACCTTGACGCGGTGTTCGGGCTTGCCTATCGTGATGACCCAACCGAGCTATATTGGCTGGAACATATGTTCCTGTAGGTTCTACCATGCCAGGCAGGTCGATTGGTGAACGGTAAGACTAAAAGCAGCAACTCAAGATCTGAGGGCGAAGTCGTACTGCTGACTGTAGAGAGGTGTGACAGCAGTAAGGTGTTTCCCTCGGACAACCAGCATGACAGCGATGCTGCCTTCCCACAAGGAGGGGTGGGGTTAGAAAAGGTCGACCCTAAAAATGTCACACCTCACCTTACCTCACGGATTTCCGTCTCCGGTGGTAAGGCCCTTTGAAGAACGGAGCTAACACGTCAAAAACCTTCCACAAAAGGGCCGTGCGCGACCGGCCTCAAGCAGTTGTCCCTTGGGCTCTGCGGCCACGCTCCCAGGTCGTCAAGACCAACACTAATCCAATTTCCTTTTCAGGTTCCTCAAGAAATACCCTTCCACGGTGTGGGCAGCCGGGAAGTGACATCGGGCCTCATACCCGTAACAGCACACGAGACCAAGTTAGTCACATTCAAATCTTTCCTACACCTCCTAATACCTCTCTTATCTCCATGACTAACCCTCCTCACGTCTCTTTATCACCTCACACCGCTAGAGCAAATAATTCGAGTACGTGGAACGCTATTCCTGGTCTCCTGAAACCACGCTCTAAACTACACGTAGGAGCTTTTAACGTACAAACACTTTGCCAAATAGGACAGCAGGCTTCCTTAGCTAGGACTTTAGAATCTCGCCCCATCGATGTGTGCTGCGTCTCCGAAACGCGCATACAGGATCCAAGTAGCGTCATTCATTTGACCTCACCATGCCAAAATAAAGAACCGACTCGATTTACGCTTCGTGTATCTGGAAGCCCTGATTCTGCTTCCCGTGGCCTCGCCGGCGTAGGTATAGCATTGAGTCCTAGGGCAGAACTAGCTCTCTTAGAGTGGATCCCAGTAGACAGCCGTTTGTGCGCTGTCCGACTGAACGGAATAGTAAGGATCCGGAAAGACAGGGAAACTCGTCGTTGACTCTTCGTCGTCTCTGCCTATTCTCCCACTGTCTGCAGCTCAGAAGATGTAAAAGATGAGTTTTACAGAAAGCTTTCGGACCTTCGAAAAGCTAGGCGCTCTGATGTAGTAATAGTGGCCGGTGACTTTAATGCTCAAGTAGGTAAACTAAGCGATAGGGAAAGACACCTAGGTGGATCTTATGGTGTCGTGGCTCAAAGAACAGATAATGGCGACCACCTGTTGCAGCTATGCTCAGATAACCGCCTGTTCCTTGCAAATACTAACTTTAAGCATAAGGAAAAACATCTTTTAACATGGCGACCCCCTAATTCGTCCCAACGTTGGACCCAAATAGATCACATCGCTATCAGCCACCGATGGAGGGGCTCGATAGAAGACTGTCGCTCATTCTGGAGCACCTGGCTCTGAACATAATGAAGAGCGGAGTCAGTTTAAGCGCAAGCTGACAAGAAGTCTGCGTAATGATCGCGAACAGTGGTGGGTAGCGAAAGCAAGAGAGATGGAAAAGGCAGCAGCAATAGGTAATAGCAGACAATTGTTCAGACTTGTTAAGGAAACCGGTATTAGGAACCCGACCGTTAGCGAAATCTTAGAAAAAGATGGACATAATATTCATTCTCAATCCAGGAGATTGGATCGATGGGCAGAACACTTTAGGAATCAGTTCAACTGACCTTCAGCCACACTTCGGTTTCCCACGATCTCTAGTCAACCTGAATGGGAAGTTAATGTAGGTCCTCCGTCCCTTTACGAAGTTGAAAAAGCCATAGGAAATCTGAAACGAGGGAGAGCAGCAGGCTCTGACAGGTTTACTCCTGAGATTTTTAAGGATGGTGGTCCAGTATTAGCAATGAGATTAACCGAGGTCTTAGGTAGAATTTGGGAACTGAACGTAATCCCATCTGACTGGTCTCAATCACTGATTGTGCCAGTCTATAAGAAAGGACAAAAGTCCTCTTGTGACAATCACAGAGGAATCAGTTTGACTAATATAGTGTCTAAAACATTAGCCTCAATAATACTTCGACGCCTAATCAAAGCTCGTGAAGAGCAGATTAGAGAAAACCAGGCTGGTTTTCGACCTGGACGTGGTTGTATAGACCACATATTCACACTACGTCAGGTTCTGGAACACAGACACACGTTCAGACGCCTCACAATGGTAGTATTTCTCGACCTTAAGGCGGCATTCGACTCTACTGATCGTAAGGTTCTATGGCAGTGTTTGTCACTGAAAGGAGTACCAAAGTACATTAACCTTATAAAGGCTCTCTACTCAAACACAACTGGTCGAGTGAGAGCTTATGGCGAACTGTCATCAGAATTGATTACCTCAAGTGGTGTTCGTCAGGACTGTCCACTCTCCCCATTCTTGTTCAACTTTGTCGTCGATGTACTTTTAGAGATAACACTTTCCCCATCTAAATTTCCAGGGGTTGAACTTGTGCCGGGAGGTTCACTTGTTGACTTAGAATATGCAGATGACATAGTTTTATTTGGTGAAGACGCTGAAAAAATGCAGTCTTCTGACCACTCTAAGCAACAATGCAAGCATGTTTTGGATGCGATTCTCCCTCTCAAAATGCAAAATGTTGCTTCAGGATTGGATTGCATTGACACCCGAACTAATGATAGGGAGTGAAGTTGTTGAGCGTGTCAATCGCTTCACCTATCTTGGAAGTCTCATCAGCCCTTGTGGTCTGGTGTGTGCCGAAATCTCAGCACGGATACAGAAGGCTCGACTAGCTTTTGCCAACTTGCGTCATTTATGGCGTAGGCAAGATATCCGTCTATCAACCAAAGGACGTGTTTACTGCGCAGCAGTTCGTTCCGTCCTACTTTACGGCAGTGAAACATGGCCGGTAAGAGTAGAGGATATTCGTAGGTTACTATTATTCGATCATAGGTGTCTTCGAAACATTGCTCGTATATCATGGGACCATCGAGTAAGTAACATAGTTGTTAAGAAACGGGTACTAGGTAAGGATGGCAAATCAATTGATGAAGTAGTGAAACTGCATCAGTTGAGATGGCTGGGACACGTGTTACGTATGCCCAACGACCGACTACCTCGACGTGCTATGTTCAGTGGTATAGGAGTAGGTTGGAAGAAAGCTAGAGGCGGCCAAACCAAAACACGGCACAAGTGCATGAAGTCACTGACAAGTGGACTGAGTCATGTTGGTAGGTGTAGACTACCTGGTTGGGGACCACGAGATGATAGCAACCGATGGTTAGAGACCCTGAATGACATGGCTCAAAATGGTTTGCAATGGCGCAGGTGCATCCATTCTTTGTGTTCTCCCAGATTCTAATCTTCTGAATTCTCCATGTCCCTTTTTTCCTCTTTCCAAATTTATTTCACTGGATTATACTCTTTAAATAACATCTCCAAACCCTAATCTTCCCGATTACTGCTTATACTCTTGCTACCTCTACCACTACGGGATTTGAATCGACAACTGCATCTCTGTGCTAATGTGGTGTGGCAACTCGAACTGATGTACGTACGTACGTACGTACGTTCTACGTTGTTACTGACTGACTGATTGACTGACTGACTGATTGACTGACTGAATGAGTTTATACTAAAACTGTAAATACCCCTGTTCTTCTGTACATTTTTGACTTCTACCTAATAATCGCTTCCCCTTTCTTCTTCGCTCGTTTGATTTGTGACTGTAGGGGTTCTATACGTCCGAGTGCTGATAGTTGTATACCGTATTCTTACCGTAATCGGTTAGAGGGCGTAACAAATACTAATAATAGTGCTAATAGTAATGATGGCAATAATAATAGTAACAAATGGTCATACTTTTAGTCAGGTTTTACTTTTTATTATTCTTGTTACTGATTGTGTGTAACCCCAAGATTGTGTCTTTTTTAAATTCGAGGGTAAAAATTCGAAAGACTCATGATAACAGGAGTAAGGAATTTAGGACAAAGAAAACCGAGATTGTTAGATGACTTTAAGGACTTACAGCTTATGTAGAGCCCGAATTAACAGGTGATCACCGACTTTGATTCCCCATGTGTATCTGGATCTTCGTTATTTTCAATCATTGTTCACCGAACCTCAAAATCATTCGTGTGGTTTTAAAATGGAATAGGACAATCACTATAAATCTAGGAATGATTAAGTAAATAACTCGTGAGACACCATAAGCTCATAGAAATCGCTTCATAGAAGTACTTGGATTTCTGTTATCCGAATAATATCGTAGCAAGTGATGAAAATCAGTATCAAAAGGACATTAACTGTAAACTGTTGCACTCCATTCAAGTTATCAGCTACACAGTTTAGGAGGAATGTAGTATGCTGATCAGCCATCTCTAAAAATAGAGGCGAATGTGGAATAAACACTTTTAAAAGGGATTCATCCGGAATAGTGAGGAGTTGCAAATTAAGCTACTTTTGTGATTAATACTTGGGTATAATTCTATTTGCGAAGGTTTGTATTATCCTAAATTGGAAGAAAAACACTTCTTCAATGATCGAAAAGATTCGCTCAGTGCTTCTTTTGTCACGAAATTTTTGATAATCATCTTATCGCGCAACATAATGGGAGTTGAGTCAGGAGATTGTTTGACGAAATTCTGTTTAAGTTTGTCTGATGTAAATTTGTGTTATTAACAACAGGTCGATTACTGGGATTCGATCAGTGTCTTCAAAGCAGTACCTGTGAATGTTGGGACCACTTAGTGAGCAATCATGAAGTTCAGTGTAGGGTGTTGGACAAGTATAGTAAATTGGTTGATAAGTTTGTTGGTCCTTATCGATTGAAGTGGTTGGGCTATGTGTTACGTATGCCTGAATTGATGGATAGAAGTAATTTGGATAAACGTTACTTACCTACGCCTGTTACTCCCAATGGAGCATAGGCCGCCGACCAGCATTCTCCAACCTAATCTGTCATGGGCCTTCCTTTCTAGTTCTACCCAATCGCTGTTCATTCTTCGCATGTCTGTCTCCGTTTCTCGACGTAGTGTGTTCTTTGGCCTTGAGTATTGCAAGTGAGGGCTTTTCTTGTGACACAGTTGGTTGCTTTCCTCAACATGTGTCCTATCCACTTCCAGCGCTTCTTCCTAATTTTTTCCTCTGCTGGGATCTGGTTTGTTCTCTCCCATAGTAGGTTGTTGCTGATAGTGTCTGGCCGGCAGATCCGAGGTATTTTGCGTAGGCAACTGTTAATAAACACTTGTATCTTCTGGATGATGGCTTTCGTAGTTCTCCAGGTTTCCTCCCCATACAGTTGAACTGTCTTGACATTTGCATTGAAAATTCTGATCTTGGTGTTGGTTGACAGTTGTTTTGAGTTCCAGATGTTCTTCATTTATAAATATGCTGGTCTTGCTTTGCTGATCCGCGCCTTCACGTCTGCATCAGATCCACCGTGTTCATCAATGATTCTGCCCAGATATGTGAAGGTTTTTACATCTTCCAAATCTTCTCCGTCAAGTGTGATTGGATTGTTGCATGTTGTGTTGTATCGGAGAATCTTGCTTTTCCCTTTGTGTATGTTGAGACTTACTGCTGCTGAGGCTGCTGCTACACTGGTCGTCTTCTCCTTGATTTGTTGTTGTGTGTGCGACAGAAGAGCCAGATCATCTGCGAATTTTAGATCGTCCAGCTGCATTCTAGCTGTCCACTGTATATCATGCTTCTCCTCAGATGTTGATGTCTTCATGATCCATTTGATCACCAGGATAAAGAAAGGTGAGAGTAAGCAACCTTGCCTGACACTGATCTTTAACTTGAACGAGTCTGTCAGTTGTCCTCCATGTACGATTTTGCTGTTTAATCCACCATAGGAATTCCGTATGATATTGACTATTTTATGGGGCACGCCGTAGTGTCGAAGAAGCTTCCATAGTGTTGTCCTATCCACGCTGTCGAATGCTCTCTCGTAGTCAATGAACTTGATGTAGAGTGATGAATTTCATTCAATTGATTGTTCCACAATGATCCGCAGTGTTTCGATTTGGTCTGTACATGATCGATCCTTACGGAATCCTGCCTGTTTATTTTGAAATTGAGCGTCTACGGTGTCCTTCATTCTGTTCAACAGTACCCTGTTGAAGACTTTTCCTGGTATTGAGAGAAGAGTGATGCCCCTGTAGTTATCACCTTTGCTGAAATTGCCTTTCTTTGGTATCTTGATCAGGTGTCCTTCTTTTCAGTCTGCTGGTACTTGTTCTTCATCCCAAATCTTGCTGAATAGAATTTGGAGTATCCTTGCAGTCACCGCTACGTCTGCTTTCAGTGCCTCTGCTGGAATGTTGTCTGGTCCTGCTGCTTTGCCACTCTTGATTTGTCTGATGGCCATGCTAATCTCTTGAATTGTTGGTGGGCCAACATCGATTGGGAGGTCCGTGGGTGCTGCTTCGGTGTTAGATGGGTTCAGTGGGACTGGTCAATTCTACCCACCTGTTTCGTTGTTCTTCAATATTGGCGATTACCTTGCCTTCCTTGCTTTTCACTGGTCGTTCTAGTTTACGGTGATTTGCAAAGAGTTTTCTTTGTTATGTCATACAGTTCTCTTATGTTTCCTCTTTCAGCCTTTTCTGCCGTCATTGTTAGATCTTCCACATATTTACGTTTGTCGGTTCTGATGCTCCTCTTCACTTGTTTGTTTACTTCTGTGTATTCAGCTTGTGCCTTGGATTTTTCTGCTCTTGTTCGGCTGGTTTTGATTGCTGCTTTCTTGTTCCTCCTTTCTTGAATCTTATCCAGTGTATCAACAATGGTTCATTCTTTGTGGTGGTGCTCCTTGTGGCCCGGAACCTCATGACATGTTGAAGTGACTGCCTCTTTTATCACTTCCCAGTTGCTCTCCATAGTAGTTCCATCTCCATTGAGTAGATCATGAAAGGGCTGGGACCTATTGCTGAGGGTTATCCTGAATTTGTTGAGTTTGTTAGTATCTTGGAGAAAGGCCGTATTGAACTTTTGTGATACTGCCTGCCCTGTTGTCCAGTGCTTCTTGAGTTTCAATTTCATCTTGGCGACCAGTAAGTGATGATCTGATGCTATAGCAGCTCCTCTCTTGGTTCTCACGTCCTCTATAGTCCTCCTGGACTTCTATGGTCGATATGATTCTGTGTAGTGTGGTCCGGTGAAATCCACGTGGCTTTGTACATGCGTTTATGTGGGAATATAGTGCCGCCTATGACCAGTTTGTTGAAGGCACATAGGTTTGAAAATCTCCCACCATTTTCGTTCCTTTCTCCCAGTCCATGTCGTCCCATTGTGGTGTGTGCCACTTATATTGACATAAGTAGTATATGTTGTTGGTCGTGAACAGAAGGTCTGGCAGCAGAGAAACAAGAGGATCGAACAGTAAAGAATGAAAACAGGATGCAATTTGTATGACGATGCAAGAACAATGAAGTCATTTTGAGACAATTGGTGGACATTTTGCAAATTAAGCATTTACTTTATGATTGTTAGATTTTATTAACAAGTCCTGTAATTTTGTGTTAGATATATTAGATTGTCCCCACCGCTGTTATTGTTCACCACACTATAATGTCTTCATATCCGGTGCTGTTCATTCCAACCTTGGCATTTAGGTCTCCCATAAGAATGGTCAAGTCCTCTGTTGGGCGCTTCTCGACGATTGACTGCAGCCTATTGTAGAATTGATCTTTAGCGTCTTCATTGTGGTTGTTGGTAGGCGCATAGCATTGGATGACGTTCATTGTAATGCCCTCGTTCTGTGTTTTGAATGAGGCTTTGATGATCCTTGGTTCATGAGATTCCCATCCTATAAGTGCATTTCGTGCTTGTTTGGACAGCATCAATGCAATTCCTTGTGTATGTGGTGCATTTTCTTCGTCATGGCCGGAGTATAACAGAAGCTCCCCCGAAGCTAGTCGTTGTTGTCCAACTTGCGTCCAATGTGTTTCAGTGATCCCAAGTACCTCTAGGTTGTATCTCCTCATTTCTGCAGCAATTTGGAAGACTCTCCCGGTGTCCCACATTGTACGAGTATTCCATGTACCTAAATAAATGGTTGCTCTGGTTGTCAGAAGGGGCATCGGCCTCGTGACTTCCGAAGGAATTCGACTTTCATCATGAGGCGTCATAGTTCTTCTAAATGAAAACCTTCTGACTCCCAGGGCAGAGTTTAGAAGGTTCGAATAATTTTTTTGGTAGGCATTTTTTAGTGAGTTAGTTTTCTACGGGATGGGGTCGCTAACCCCATGCCCAACCCTCCTCCTTTATCCGGGCTTGGGACCAGCAGTAGCCTCAGGGGTGCTCCAGATTTGGTTAGGAGCAGCCAAACCAAAAGCATGTCATCAGTCCTCGAAGCCATTATCTGTTATTCCGAACCATGTTGGTTGAAAGTATACGCAATTATCGTGACCATCGGTGAGCAACGTCGAATGACAGGGCTAATAATCGATCACAATCGCACATATTAATGTACTCTTCGTCTGTCCTTAGATCCTGAATTGCAAAACTAATTTTTTACTTTTTCATTTCGCGAATTTGTTTTTTTTTCGGATAGTATTCTGTATATCCAGTATTTTACTACCACTGATGTGTAATTGGTTGGTAATAGTGTCTTTTAATAGGAAACCCATTTAGCTGATGAACTTAATGCAAATGTTTCCACTGATCCTGTTTGTAATACCGAAATTCTGTTACCTCTTTTTTAAAGACTGTTTAGAGCTTTGCTGGACATTAGCGTACGCATCCTCTATTGTCTCTTCGTTCAACTCGATTATTTTGTCGTAAACTGAAATTTGGTTACGAAAAAAACTTTTGTCAAGTTTGTATCATAATGATAGCTATGGTTTTCAGTGATGCAGTTTTGTTTATATAATTGTACGATGAATGAGTAGCGCCCTCAGTTGACCATTTCTTAATATATTGTTTTTGAAAGCAAAAATGAATCTCTCACAACTTTTCTTCACTTAATACATTTTCCAGAATAGCATGGATATTTATTTCATGCGTTATGCGTTCAATTTGTTCATCATTTGTGTGTTTAGTTACTAATGAAAGAAGCTTTATCACTTTTATCGTTTTCTTTTACTCAGCTTAAAAGAGCGAACAAATTTCGTGGTCTAAGTGGTGAATTAATTCGAAAAGCAACTGCTCATTTTATTCAGAAGTGTGCAATGGCCAGATTACCGTTTCATGATGATCCAATTATTGGTGAGTTTTTCATATACTTATTATAACTTTTTTTCGATTTGGTTCGGAATTTTGACATTCGACATACTTTGACATACTCCAAGACTAACATCGCTCGGTCATAATTATCATATTTTGTTTGGCGACTACATTAAAGATAGATTTCCATAAATTCTTATAGGCGACAATAAAATATAGAGTCAGCTAGTCGGTAGTGAATCGGTATCTTATCGATTGTATTATAGGAGTATCATGTCAAATGAAAAATGGGCTGAATCGGAAAATACGGTACATTGAATTCCGGTATTTTGGTTGTCGCGAGACCGTGTGTTTCTGTGCTTGATACCATATGGTATCTTGTGTGAGCATATCTAAGAAATTCCAAACTTCATTGAAATCGCTGTACAGTTTTCCCTGGTTTTCACTGTCCTCTGAATATCTTCAGTTCAAAATAAAAACTACTTAGAAGATATAGAACATTATCCATATCATCATAGTGAATTACACATCTCTGTTTACAGTCAAGTTAATTTTATTTCATTCTTTACTGAGACGTACTTGGTAGGATTGGAAACTCAACAGTTCAAACGTTCAACCCCCAACTTATTTCATAGGTCTAAACTCCACCTTACCTACTTGGGTTTGAGAAGCTGGGCAGTACCTCTAACCATCACACGAATAGTATTGTACATGGCCGAGTGCATAAACGCGTATTTTCTAGGTGAGTTATAATAAAACTTATTACGGGACGTATAGCGTGTACTTTTGTATATACTGGATCCAGTTATTTTACTAGTACGTACTCACATATTATTCGTTTAACTAGTAAGAAGATGTTATTGATTGATCGTATGTTGCCAATTTTGCTAGCATGTATAGATGATCATGCACCACCTTATCCTTAATATACTTTCCAAATACTGTGCAAGATATCTATCAAATGCGAAATCCAGCACATTGGGTGTATATCTATTAAATTTATTTTATTTCTTTGTCATATTATTTTTGTACCGTCAGAAGTTTGGCGTGAATTCTTGGATGATTGTGTCGGACATAAAAATCCTGAAGTACAGGTAAAGATTAGTAAATGTTACTATGAAAAAAGTTTGCTATGATATTAAGTTATTTAATGCTTAATTATTCTTAAACATAATCTTTTCTTTTACTTTGTAACTATGTTTCTTTGTCTGTTTTCTGGTGGGAGGGGGGGGTGGGCATTTTATTTTAACTATTTAGTTTTAATAAAAGGAACCTTCAAATTTACCGGTAAAATTTCTATAGTTTGTGACAATTAAACTTTTCTTATTGATCATATTGATAGAAACAAATGGTTATTGATAAAAAAAGTTATCTTAATAGCTAATTGAAAAAAGTACAATTTTTCGTTTAATAATTTTAATTTATCTTCTCTCAACTATTCATTTTAATATTTGTAATCTGAAGTTCGAATCAGTCTTAATTATTATCCAATTTTTAGGTTGGTTTTGTTCTAACAGGTGAAAATGTTTCTCATTGATTGGAAATAGATTAAGGCTATTAGAAATTACATTATATGTATTATACCATTATAATATAGTGAAATTATAGAGGAATATAAAAATCAAATTGTAGCTAGTCTTGTCCAAATAACTAATCGACTGCTTATATCAATTTAATAGTCATGTGTTGTTTAAATTCTTATTGTACTTGTTCCTCTGAATGCCTTCAATATAGCTAAATGATGAAGCTTTATCACTAACAACTGGGGATGTGATTTTCTGAATCTTACTTGTTAAGTTTTCCTTTTTAATTGCTAAATTCATGAGTCGATGTAAGCTAGACCACCATTAAAGACCTAGAAGCACTAGACGGTCGTTTCGTCCTAGCATGGGACTCCTCAGCAGTGCACATCCACGATCCCACATGCGGGACGCGAATCAGGGACCATCGGTCTCTCGCGCAAGCCCCATAACCTGTAGACCACTGAGCTGTCATCCAATGATGTTAATGTCTAACTTCAATCGATTCATGATCTTGCGCAACCATTCATCTATTGTCCGAGGTAGATACCTGTCTCTACCAGACATGGATTGGTCACAGGCTCTCGACTCATAAATTCAACTAATAAAAATTACTACAATCTCCACAAACCTCCGTTCTGATCAGAAATTTTATTTTGTTAGTTTTTGATTTAGAACAACATATATAAGTGAACAATCTTGTCTCCAATTAGATCCTTATCAGGCTTTACTCTAATGTACATTAATATTTATATGCATTTATGAAATTATTAAATTAATCAAGACCGTTTATGAGTCAGTGATAACAGTGGATAGATTATATAGACAAATATAAGAAGTAAAAGGTGCAAATTGATAGTGTGATGACAAATGTACTAGTTGTGATAACAAACGCTCAAATAAATGTTTCATAATGGCAAATAGGTCACTGACTTGGAAAAATATAGATGCCGAAATAACATCCATAAAACTATAAGATTGCGTATTAAGAGGTGCTCAGATAATTGGATAAAGAAAGGTGGGAGTGAAAAAAATAGACGAACAAAGGGTATGGAAAATCATGATGAATATAATCTCTTATTAATTCGGTCAAGGAAGAGATAAATGTGTTACAATTTTCCTATGAATACAAAGACTTGTATTGTTAGCTCGAATTCTTATAGCTTCTGGTGTGTGTAAGAGACGAGATCGAACCACATACGGTAAACTAATAGGAATACGATTAATCACTTTAAATGACCTATTTCTGTCTACTACACGACTGCTATCGATCAAGTGTAATAGAACAGAACTGTGTATTGTTTTGACGATGCCTCTTCCTATCCACGAATGGAGGTGCTTACCAACTTGTTCGCTCAGTTATCTGGTTGTACACCCAATATAGCTTTCTCCACGGGAGCAGCTGGTTTCGTAGATACACATAGATTTGGCAAAACTAGGTAGTGTATCCTTTAGTTGAGGAATCACCACAGGCTGGGTCGAAAATGATAGACAATAGTTAGTTCTGTTCATTTCTCTAATCAGTCTCCAGTAGCACATCACATCAGTTTTCGATTTTATCATTATCAGTTTACCTCCTTAAGTGTATAACTTTAACATCTCAACAGTTTCAATAAAATTTGAACATGATTAACAAACTGAACTTACAGATGGCTTTCTATTCTCTGAAGAAATAATCTATATTTTGTTATATTGTGTGTTGTCACATGATGGGCTTAACTGTTATAAGTAAACCTAACTTTGTAACTGAAGTGTTTTTTCTCAATAAGTAAATTGTATCTTTATTTTCAGAAAGCTACTGTGAATGCATATCCTCACTTTTTATCAACCTATTTGTACAACCGAAATGGTGAACTGAAATTAGGCTATAAAGGTATTTTAACAAATTTTGTAAAATAAATTATACGTTAATCTGCCTGTTAATAACCTTTCAATAGTGTGTACCAATTTTTGTTTTGCCAACTGCCTTTATCTTAATATAGTATTTTTACTGGGACATTTGTTCTCTATCTATCAGCATTCACCATTGACTTTGATACATACTCTCCGATCTGTTGAAACTACTCTCGAGGTATAGATAATATTTTGTACATGACAACTTGTCACAAAAACAAATGAAGACACTACCATGCCTAGTCGCGAATACACTCATCTTCGTGCTTTGTTTACAGGTTAACAATGTTTATTAGATGGTGATAAACTTGTGGATGGAACGCGAACTACTGATGTATCTGTGTACCGTCCATCCATGGATGAAGAGTGTTTTTAGGTCTATGAGCCAAACTCTGTAGATAATCTTCATTTAAGCACACACATACTCTGAATTTGTGGATAGTATCCTTTCAATCGGCTAGACATTTATTATACTGCTGAGATTGTTGTTACCATTGATAAACCCCTAATATTGGTTGTAAAGTTCATCCTGTTTACTACAAATAGGATTCAGATGGACTGACCAAATGTCATTTATCACTTATAAATAGTTTTTGGTAAGATTTATTATAGTAGTGCTCCATTAAATTATATTTTTCTCTTGGTTTTACTTCGTGCATTAACTCTCACAATTTGTTCAGGATCATTCATCAGATCATACTTATTTGGTATCAGAATATTTTACTTGAAGTAAGTAAAATCAAGTTCAAACTCAACCCTACATTTTTTAGGTGGATATGTGGAATATCGAATTCCAAGTTCAATAAAGTACTATTAGAAACTCAAAATATATTTAGTTTAGTCAATAATTCGTCTTTGAGTTCACTGTATAGTTACTTGAATAATAGATTCAACCCAACTTAAAAGTATCATTTTTATTTACTTCGTTCAATCTGTCTGCTAAATCTTATTTCTTGTCGAGTACGTAGATGTTATTTTTGAGTGATATATTAATAATATCGATAGGTAAATCAAGTTACTAAGCATTGTATTTTAGTTAAACTCATAACTTGTAAATTGTTTTCATTTTCAGATTTATTGTACAGGAATTTTTTACTTCATTTAAATACTAATTCTGAATCGGAACTTTCCGGTTATTTACAAATTATTGGTGCAGCTCCGAGTAGTTTGTATTCTGGACATGTTGCTGATTTACTGGATACTGTCACTAGTGCTTGTAAATCGACTTCAAAGACAAAATTCTGGGTTGATTCTCGCGGATCCGCATTAAAAGCTCTTGTTGAGTAAGTTTGAGAAGAGACTCATAATTATTTATTGTTTGCTATTAGATTACAAAATTTTAAGAATTGTATGATTGTTGTCTATATGAGGAAAATTTTGTTGCCAACATTATGTGATAGTGTTAGTTTAATAGTGTTCTAAGAAACTATTCATCTCATAAGTTAATATCCTAAGATATATATATATATATATATATATATATATATATATATATATATATATATATATATATATATATATATATATCCTTAGGGAATCCAAACTGTTGGTCTCGAATCTGGATGTCTACAGAATATTTCAATTGGTTCAGCAACACTCTATTGTACCGATTGTAGTGTGATGCCTCTGTAGTCCTCACACTTACTCAGATTTCCTTTGTTTGGTATCTTGATAAAGTATTCTTCTTCTAAGTCTATCAGTGGGACTTGTTTTTCCCCTAAATCTTCGTGAATAGAACATTGCGCATGTTTGCAGTTACTTCTTTGTCTGACTTCAATGCTTCAGGTCCTGCTGCTTTCCCACTCTTAATTTGTCTGAAGGCCGTTCTGATTTCTTCGATCATTGGTGGAGTGACAGCTATAATAATGTCTGTGTGTGCTGCCTCGATGTCTGGTGGGTTTAGTGAACCTGGTCTGTTTAATAGTTCCTCGAAGTGTTCTACCCACCTGTTCCTTTGTTCTTGAATCTCAGTGATTGGTGTGCCTTTATTGTCCTTGACCGGTCTTTCTGGTTTATTGTATTTCCCTACCAGTTTATTTGCTATGTCTGAAATACATGAAAAACCAAGCAACGACAGTGGAAAAAGTTGCAACAGAAGGAAATAATGCTGCTCCTCACTTGCTTATTTGCTTCTGTGCATTTGATCTGTGCCTTGAATTCCTGTGTTCTTGTTCGGCTGTTGTTAATTTCTGTCTTCTTGTTCTTCCTTTCTTGAATCTTGTCCAGTGTTTCAATAGACTTCCATTCCTTATGATGCTTTTTTCGACTCAGCACTTTCTGAGACGTTGAAGTTAGTGCTCCTTCGATCCCTTTCCAATGGTTTTCCACAGTAACTTCCTCTTCCTTGAATAGATCTTGTACGGCTTGGAAGCTGTTGCTGAGAGTTATCTTGAATTGGTCGACTTTTTCAGTATGTCGCAGATATTAAACCGTTGTAATGCTCTTTCTCCAGTTGTCTAGTGTTTCTTTAGCATCAGTTTCATCTTGGCAACCGCCGGGTGGTGATCTGAAGCTATGTCAACTTCTTTCCTGGTTCTCACCTCTTCCGTTGACCTTCTGAATTTTTGAGTGGTGTAAATGTGGTCGATTTGGTTCTCTGTAGCGTGATTCTGTGAGACGCATGTAGCTTGTGTATGTCTTTGGTGTGGGAATATAATGCCACATATAACTTTCGTTGTGGGCACAAATTTGTAAATCCGTCACCATTCACCCAGTCCATGTCGTCCCATGATCTCTTCATACTCGGTGTCGTCGATTCTGACTTTGGCATTTAGGTCTCCTATCAGGATTGTCAGGTCCCTTCTTGGCCACTTTGCTATGATTGAATGCAGCCTCTCGTAGAACTGATCTTTATCGTTGTTATTGCTATCGTTGGTGGGTGCGTAACATTGGATAACGTCTATCGCAATTCCCTCCTTCTTTGTTTTGAAGAATTCTTTAATGATCCTGGGTCTATGAGATTACATTCCTATAACTGCATTTCGTGCTTCGTGTTTCTTTTGGCAAAGCATTTTCTTCCTCATGACTAGATTACAATAATATCTCTTCCGAATCTAATCTTTTGTGTCCATCTTGGATCTTATGTATTTCGCTGATTCCGAGCACCCCGAACTTGTATTTTCTTATTTCTTCAGCTACTTAAATGGTCCTCCCGGTCTCGTAAATTGTCCGGGCATTCTATGTACCTATATTAATTGTTACTCTGGTTGTTAAAAGAGACATCGGCCTCGTGATCTTGGCTTTCACTATGAGGCATTCTTCTAAATGGCGATATTTGAACTCGGAGGGCAGAGCTTAGATGGTGTAAATAGTTTTTTGTGGCTAGCATTTTTGTTTAGCAAGTTTGTTTTCTATGGAGTTGTGTTGCTGACACTATGCCCAACCCTCTTTTATCAGGACTCAGGACTGGTGGTGACCCTTGAAAAGCTAAAGTTGTAGTTAATTTTATTGACGTATATTATTGTTATTTTCATGTGATAACGGGCTAATTGTGCTAAATATTTGGTCAAATATAATTTTGCACTTGATTCTATTTTTCATACTCTAGGATCATAAAAAGTCTTGGGGCTCATCACTCGGAATTAAATGTTACCCTTTTGAAATCTACTTGTTATATTTTACTCCAATCTATATCCGATTATACAATGGATTCACGTGGGGATGTAGGTTCTCTGTAAGTGATCAAATTGTTCGTATATTCTATAACACTTTCATCATGCGTCCACTAACACTGAGTTTAATGTACACAAAATAACTTTTGGTGCATAAATCAGTTGGGTTTATGTAACGCATATTGTTCAAGTTCATTGTTGATGTTTCAACAAATGATTTACTCCATACATTCTTAGCACTTATTAGTATTTACCTTTTACTCGCTTTTGATGAATACAAAAGGTGTGCTGTGTGCTACAGATGTAAGTAGTATGTATCATGAATCGAAAGTGAAATGCCTGGCGGCAGAATGTTATGAATATCGGAGGAAAGAGAAGGAGAAAAGAGAATGATTGCTGTGGAAGCTAAGTAACAATGAAGTCTGAGATGATTAATTGACAATTTGCAAATGATGTATTTTGCTAAGACGTTCTGTAATTTCGTGTTCAAACACATTTGATTGTCCTCACTTATGTCCTCGTTCACTACAAAGGTAATGTGAAGAAATTAACCGCATGTACATTTTGATTTGATGCTTTCGCACTTCATATGACTGCCCATACAGTGATTACCAATACAGAATAGAATAAACAAAATCTGCTGAAATAATAGTGACATTAATATTAGTAAACAAGCGATTAATCATTTGCTCCGTAAAAATTGCTAAAAAAAATCAACGGATGAAAGGTGTTAGGAATAACACAATATTTGGATTAAAGGGATCGATAAACATTAATGAATCCATTTGCTCCATGACAAATAGCTTTTAGTTTTATTACCCTTAGTTCTCGTTAGTCAAGTATGGTTATCAATTTTGCATGCCTTATTTGAAAGTTTCTGTCCCCCCCTCTCTCTGTGAAAGATATTGTGAAAGAAAACATTATAATCGTATATTATTGTTTCAAATATATCTGGTTTATTTCAGAGCATGAGGTTATAGTGCATCGTTTTCTTACTTTGTTGTCGTCTGTTCACATTCTTTTTAGTTAAATCACTACTAGAATTTAAACTCTATAGACATCTCCCCGTCAACCGTAGTAAATTTCTGTAACGAGGCCAATGGGTTCTCGCACACGTCAATTATCCAGTAATAGTTTAAATAGTTAATTGACATCCATATAACAGCAACAACAAATCGATCACTGGGTATTTCCACTGTCTTTATTACTGTCTATTCATGTTCTTGAGTAGTATAATCATAGAAGTGCAAGTTTTCCTTACTGTTCTCGTTTTTATCTAACAATAAATGTAGGCCTGTGGTTGTTTTTTGTGAAGGCTGTAACTAAGATAACAGCTGTTTCACACCAGTTTATACTGTTTTTATAATTTTTGTCATGTCTGTGAGAAGGCATGAGATTCTCCAACCGGTTTTGTTTGGCGAACAATAACCTGTTGCCTCGACTACGTAAAATGTTATTATTATTATTATTATTATTATTATTATTATTATTATTATTATTATTATTATTATTAATATTCTGATTAAAGTACACCTGAATCACTTGTTTATCATTGACTTTACTTTCAGTATTTATTTGTCGTCCAATTGTGTAGCGATACATATGCATTTCGATAATTATGCAAATATTTTTTATATTTGTTAGAACACAAACATTGGTACATGGGAGCACCAAATACATATGCGCCACACAAATCGAATGGATCCCCCAAACAGAAGCAGGTGGTTTCTTAAAGTTCGCACCTGAGCCTTTGACCTAAAGGTATAAGCCATAAGGCAGTGGAGCAATGTTAAGAGATGCAGTCCTATGGTTGCTGGTTACCAACAATAGATTGACAGGCCATTTGTTCCTTCAGGATCCTGAAGCCAATGTGCACCACTGGTTTGGAATTAGGGTTTTCCAACTAACTCTTCTAGATGAGTCCTCCATATCTACCAATCCGGGTAAAGTGCTGGACATTATTTTTTGTCCTTTCAACTTCGTAACCAACACCTCGACCACGATAAGGCAGTGAGCAGGATTCCCTTGTGAGTGGCTGTATATTCGTGACCATGTGAGAGCATTCGGAGAGGGAGAACGGACTCTCCCCACCCTCATCCTTACCAGGGCACATAGGGACATACAAATAACTTGAGTAAAGTTAACATGTACTGACCAATGGTTAGGTAATGCGTAAGTACCTTAATCTAGAAAATATTTCTCAATCATCCTATATATAGTTATTTGAAGTTTATGATTCAGTTATTATAACGAGTTGTACTCTTTGATGACTGAAACATACTATCTACGGCCATCTATTTTCAAGTTTATCTTGTTTCTTTACAAAGATAATGTAGTGATATTTATTTTCACTCGACATTTTCACAGTATCGTTAATATCGTTACAGTATACACTGAATAATATTTTCTCTTTATTTGCATACATACATAGTGTTCGCGAAGTTGGAATGAAATGTTTGGACTCATATATTGAGTTTCTTGTAAATAATCAACACAAAGAGCTTATTACATCAGAAATGTAAGTTTTTATATATTAATTCATTTCAGTAGAACAATCACTTTTTTAAGAGTAGACTTCCTGATATAAGCTTTTAGAAAACAAACATAAAGAGCAATGAAATATTTCTGTTCGACTACCTCCCTTGTAATGGCCTTTCACCAATGTCATTCAACAAGTCATATGCAACGTATGATGAGCTTACACATTAATAATGACATCAGAAACGATTGAGCATACAATATAGATCAAGAAAACATGAATTCATGAAATACAAAATTTATTAGGTTTATTAAGAGACCTCGGCCATTACTAATGATTCTGAGTCACATTGCTCAAAGTCTTTAATCTCTGATCACCATAATCACCAAGATGCATATTTAACAATACTAACAAAATCGATATTGAGCCAGTGGTAGCGCGTTAAACAATAATATAACATTTAAAGGTGTTCATGAAAATATTTACATTAACTTCTAGTTACTTTATAAATCGTTTGTTATTCTATTATTCAATATCAATAACATTGTTTCTTTTAATGTTTTACCATATATATATATTTAGGATTGAAGAAGTGATGACTAGCATTGCACAACAAGCTGTTGAAAAAATCGATCGGACACGAGATGTAGCTGGTCAAGTGTTCGCTCATTTACTCCATCATGAGTGAGTGAATCATGTTCTCATGCCTTATTTACTCTTGTTTTTTGACGCGACCTATTAAGTTTCCTAATGAAAAAGGTAAATCGAGTTAGAGAAAATTGAATTTCGAATAGAAAGTACTAATAAGTAATTAAAAAGAAGTGAAACAAGAAAATAAATTAGTTCAGGTATTCTCATTTTAAAATTAAGTAGTCATAAAAGCATATATCTATAGTGACTAACCGTTGATTTGAATTTGATCAACATATAGATCTTGCTGTTCACAAAAACTGTATTTAGAACTATACAGTATGGAAATAATAACCGGACAATAAGCTTGGTTTTTATTAAAATTATATTTTTATAAATTACATTTATGAAGCCTATGTTATTGTTATTGTTTCATTATACATTATAACATGTATTAACTAATTCACCGTGAATGGTGGATCTTAGTTGTTAAATGAAAATTAGACTGTATTGTTTAAAATTTCATAGCTAGAAATTAATTGACAGGATCTACTGAAAATAGTTTTTCATTGATGTGAAAATGGTTTTTCATGCATGCAAATAGTAATAACATCTAACTATTTTTTTTGTTTTCAACAGTCCTCCTATCGAACACATTCCTCATTTTGAAGAACTGAAACAAATTTTCCCAAAGTAATTTCTACATATCGCTTGTTATTTTTAACGATAATTCTTTTGGCTCAATATGAATTTCTGTAAAGTAGAATTATCGCTGCGTAATAGTTCATAAAACTGTGTTAAATTGCTTGGATTACCCATAGAATTCACCTGGTACTATGAAGTGCTATATAATTATTACTTTTAAATTTGATACTATTTTTATTTTCTTCTCTGTATAATTCAAATCTGTCTCAATGTTACTTCCGTAAGTGTGTCATTCATCGTTTAATATTATATCACTCCAACGGTATCGGATACCGATTTATGGTTTCTGATGTAAATTTTTGTAAAACGCTTGTTTAGACAATATTATCAAATGTCTTTTTACTGAAGATAAGGTTTGCTAACGACCTTCAGGGAATCCTAAATGATATTGAGAAAGTAAGGCCAATTTTTTAGTCAGTCAAACTATAGTCCACATAGATGAATAATTTATTACTCAGAAATCCTAAAATGGCTTGGCGTTGTGGGTAGTGTTTAAGAGTAGAATCGAAGCATGGTTTGTTGCTTGTTGGCTGAATAATTATGCAGATGTTTCTTTGGTTAAAAATACCCAAAACCTTTGACTTACCTTTAAAAGCTTCCTATTCTCTAGGTATCTCATGCTTATCGACTGTAACCGTCTTAGCAACTAAATATTATCAGATTTATGCTGAGATCCTAGTGTGATACAAGTTACCCATCACGACATTTTGAATTCCATTCAAAAACTCAGTTGTTTCTATTTTAAATCTGATCAACACGCCGATAAACGCATATTTTCCACCCTGTTTTCCAGTAGATATTCTCTTCATTTTGGTCTAATACACACACAACCTGACATAGTGATCTATGGTTAAAAATTAGCTCTTCATTACATTCAGATCAAAACTATTTATCAGTAGAAACATTAACACATCATCACTGAAAATTATATATAGCTAAATGATTGGTGAAATTAACCAATTGTGTTGGGGATACCCAGAAAATTCCCCGATAAAAGCCCGATGGAGCCCTGAAAACTCTGGGAAACATTTTGTCCATTCAGCGTTGAATAGAAGCTTATCGGAAACATCCAGATAGTGAAAAGTCACATGTCACATTCCTGATTGGATGATTGCCTATCTTGCTACTGTGTTCAGTAGGGTTCCATAACTTTTCAGAAACCCAAGGTCATCTGAAATGCTAAAAACACCCTAGATTTTCGTCACATAAACGACCCTTGGAGTAAGGCGTTCTTTCCATATTACGGGTTTTTTCTCTCGTGTTCTCGTTGTCGTTTATAGTTAGCCTGGGGTTACTAGAAGAGTTTAGGGAACCAATCCAAGCGTTCAGACAGGTCTATGAAATTAAAATGGTATCAAATATGTATTTATTACTTAAGACTTTGAATAAGAACAGAAATCAGTGTATCCACCCTAATACAATTGATCTTAAATGATTTATGATCCGAAACAATATCCATTATGAGTTTTTATGTTATTTTCGAACATCATAGTGAGAAAATGTATTTATACTAAGAATTGATATTTCAGTAAAACGTTTGCTGTTGCATCTTCTTCAATCAACCAACTACCCATGTGAACGTAACTGTTATTTCATTTTGTTTTGTTTTTGTTAAATTTATTATTAGATCTGATTGTGATGATATGATATGGAATTCGGCCAATTCAACATTTCATCGTTTTACGAAATTGTTGGATTTTCCAGAATATCGTTATCGTTTAATTTTAGGCTTAATCGTCAGTGTCGGTGGTCTGACAGAATTAACAGTTAGTAAAATGTTTTAAAGAATTTCTGTCTACCTATTTCTTTTTCATTTATTACAGTTTTTACAAGTTGAATTCACGATTCGACCTAAGCTAGATCATCATTGAAAACCTGGAAGCACTAGATGGCCGTTTCGTCCTAGTATGGGACTCCACAACAGTGAGCATGTACGGTTTCGCAAGCGAGACTCAAACCCAGGACCTTCGGTCTTGTAGTTCTTTTTAATGATTAAGGTGTAGATATATTTTTCTCATTTGTAAAATTATCTTTCGAACAGGAAATATCGAATTTCTGTAGTTCTCATATATTCTTTTCCAGTGGATGCACAAAAAACGCGTTGAGTCTTAGTGTTTATCTTTCGCTCTCGATTATTGATAACTATTCAATATGAACCGCCATATTAAATCATGCATCTAGATTGCCCTTTTGCAATCTTAAATAACAAGTCGATCAGCACTGAAGGCTAAATAAAATTACATTGTATACATTCATTTTCGTTGTTTACGAAAATGAGAGGACGAAAGCGAATGTCCGGCGCTTTAACCGGATCACAAACCAATGGTGCACATGGGCTCCAGTATCCTGCGGGAACAAATGACGTATGAACCAATCTTTGGTCACCGGCTACCATGGGATTGCATCTCCTGACGATGCTCCACTGCCTTGTGGGTTAGACCTTTAGGTCAAAGGCTCGGGGAGTGGCCCCTAAGATAACCACCTGCTTCGGTTTGGGCACCCGGGCAGTATCACAGCCCACACACAAACGATGAACTCTATGTCTTTGGCAACTACTTTTATCGCCCCGAAAAACAATCAGTCGATTCAAATAATTATCATTACTATTATTGTCGTTATTATTATTATTATTATTATTATTATTATTATTATTATTATTATTATTATTATTATTATTATTATTATTATTATTATTATTTCCCACATTATTCACCCTCTTTTATACTTATACAGCGGCTCGTCTTTGGTGGAAATCCGACTGTATCTAAACGTTCTCGAGTCACTGTCCGGTTGAAAGTTGTATGTTACCATCGAATATGAGTACTGAAGCAGTTTTTCTGAAACCACGTGCGCCATTCAAACTGGCTGCCTTCAACGTTCGCACACTTATGCAGGTTGGTCAACAGATAGGGCTGGCTATGTCTTTGGAAAGTCTTAATATTGATGTTTGTTGTCTATCCGAGACCCGTATTCAAGACTCTGGCGAAGTACTACAAATTCGATCTCCATCTGTCGCTTCGAAAAGCTTGTTTTACGTGCGCTTATCCGGGGACCCTGTGGCATCTTCGTCTGGTCTTGCAGGCGTTGGTGTCGCACTAAGCGCTAGAGCTGAGGCAGCACTAGTCGATTGGATCCCCATTAACAGTCGGTTATGTGCTGTTAGATTAGAAAGTTCCATCAAAGTGAGAAATCGGCGTGAGAAACGATGTCTTTTCGTCATCTCCGCCTATGCCCCGACAGATTGCAGCCCGGATGCAATCAAGGATGAGTTTTACCACCAGTTATCAGTTCTTCTCCAGAAAGTGCGTTCGACAGATATTGTAGTACTAGCCGGAGACTTGAATGCTCAGGTCGGGCGTCTAGGCACAGAAGAGAGTCGTTTAGGTGGCCGATGGGGACTCGTTGGTCGCAGGTCAGATAACGGGGACCGTCTACTGCAACTGTGCACAGACCACAACCTGTTTCTGGCTAGCACTAACTTTCGGCACAGTCATCGCCGATGTGCCACCTGGCGTCCTCCCTCTTCATCTCAAGCCTGGACTCAGATTGATCACATCGCGATCAGCTACCGCTGGCGTGGTTGTGTAAAAGACTGCCGCTCCTTTTGGAGTACCTATCTGGACTCTGACCATGCCTTGGTCTGCGCCAATCTTGCCTTACTTTTCAGTGGCCAATGAAGTGACCACCACCAAAAGATTGATGTTAGCAAGCTGGTTGCAACTTCTGTTGCAAATAAGTATCGAACCGAGCTAGCCTCTAGGCTAGCTACCACTCCACCGAAAAGTATAGATGAGCATTGGTTACAATTGCATTACGCCATGAAAATGGCGGGAACAGTCAGTTGTGGGTTTGCGAAACGTCCCGCTTTTAAGCACTGGGTTTCTTCTGGTTCCTTACAACTCATTGAAGCCCGTCGGTCTACTCCGGGTGACCGTGAGTTTGACCATAAACGAAGGATGTTACGTAAGGAAATTGGGCAAAGCTTGCGTAAGGACCGAGAAGCCTGGTGGTCGGAGCGTGCTAATGAGCTGGAAGCAGCAGCTGCATCTGGTAACTACCGGAAGCTCATCCAGCTCATCCGAGCCACTGGCAGCAAGAAGTCTGGTGTGAGTGAAACAATCTGCAAGGATGATGGGATGCCAATCACTAACATCCATCGACGTCTTGGACGATGGGCAGAATTTTTCGAAGGGCAGTTCAACTGGCCTGCTGCTCCGGCAACATCGGTCAGACTGTCCTGCCCTCCATGACCGGTGACGACTGATCCACCAAATGAGGAGGAAGTTCGCAAGGAACTCCAACTCTTGAAGCGTTACAAATCACCTGGCTTAGATGACTTACCTCCGGCTCTTTTTAAAGATGGTGGTGACTTTTTGACTAAGGAATTGACGACGTTGTTTACAAATGTTTGGGAACTAGAGAGTGTGCCAACGTCATGGAATGAGTCGATAGTTGTCCCTATCTTTAAAAAGGGTTCACGTCGTTCCTGTAACAACTCTCGGAGGATAAGTCTACTTCCGATTGCGTCCAAGCTATTGGCTTCCGTCATACTTCGTAGGCTGTTCAAAACCCGAGAAAGATTGACTCGCGAGGAGCAGGCTGGGTTTCGTTCTGGTCGAGGATGTATTGATCATATCTTCACCCTCCGCCAAATGTTAGAACACCGCCATACTTTTCAAAGGCCAACAATCGTAGTGTTTCTTGACATCAGGGCTGCCTTCGATTCGTTGGATAGGACTGTTCTCTGGGATTGTCTATTGAAGAAGGGTGTGCCTGAGAAGTTTATTAACATCCTAAAAGCCCTGTATAAAAACACCTCAGGCAGAGTGAGGGCATACAACCACCTCTCTCCATTGTTCCATTCGAGCAGTGGGGTTAGGCAGGGTTGCCCAATCTCACCATTCCTCTTCAACTTTGCCATCGATGACATTCTGAAAACAGCTCTGATGAATGTAAGTAATGGTGGTGTGGATCTGTTGCCTGGAGAAAGACTTCTCGACCTTGAGTATGCGGACGATATTGTCTTACTGTGCGATAATGCCCAAGGCATGCAATCCGCACTTAATCAGTTGGCAATCAGTGTCCGTAGGTATGGTATGTGCTTTGCACCTTCGAAGTGCAAAGTACTTCTACAAGACTGGCAGGATTCCAATCCTGTACTCACCCTGAATGGTGAGCAGATAGACGTAGTCGAGGAGTTCGTGTATCTGGGTAGCTGCATAAGTGCTGGTGGGGGTGTGAGTGATGAGATCAATGCACGAATAGTGAAAGCCAGAGCGGCTTATGCCAATCTGGGCCACCTTTGGCGCCTTCGTGATGTTAGTCTGGCTGTAAAAGGCCGGATCTACAACGCGTCGGTGAGAGCAGTTTCGCTCTATGCTTGTGAAACCTGGTCTCTCCGAGTTGAGGACGTTAGACGACTCTGTGTGTTCGATCATCGCTGTCTCCGAAGGATTGCTGACATTCAGTGGCAACACCATGTCAGTAATGCAGAGGTTCGGCATCGTGTGTTCGGGCACAGAGATGATAACTCAATTGGTGTCACCATCTTGAAACACCGACTTCGGTGGCTTGGACATGTTCTACGAATGTCGGCCCAGAGAATTCCACGTCGTGCATTATTTGCCGACTCTGGGATTGGTTGGAAGAAGCGGAGAGGTGGTCAGTGTATGACATGGTGTCGTGGCATGAAAGAAAGCTGCAAAGGACTGGCTTGTGTTGGTCCTTCACGACTCCCTGGTTGGGGTCCGAGAGATGGTGCTACACAGTGGCTAGAGAGGTTATCAGATATGGCTCAGAATAGAAGCCAGTGGCGATCCTGCTGTAACCTTCTTTTACTTTCTTCATAAAAAGTGGTTCTGTCTCCCTTACCTGAAAGATTTCTTCCGATTGTACCTTTGCGTTCCCTGATTACTAGCACATTACCTTACACTAATGTCTTCGTTATTGTTCTCTCTTTTTTTTTGTTGCGCTCCTTAGCTTTTTTTTTCTTTCTTTGTATTCCTCTCGAATTTTCATTGTTTTGTGTGGCGCATATATATTGGCGCTCTCTTGTACCGATATTCATGTGTCCAAATAAATAAATAAATATTCATAATTTACATTAAAAGGAAACAAATATTTCGTGATGATTTTTTTTCAATTATTTTATTACTAAAAACGGTACGATCATAGTTAGAAAATACGAAAATATAAGGCCAATCAAGGACGTGACATTAAATGACTATAAAAATTGTTGGTGTACAGATTGGTTTGGTTTTATGTTGGATATCGCTAACGCTGATACAATGCGAAAGTAATGTGTATACACACTGCAGTAAATCCGATTTAATCTTCATTTAATTACTTGAAAAATTCTTCCTGAATCTTTCACTTTGTGTTTTTGTCCTGAAGACTAAATCAGAAAAAGCGTTCATCGTCGAATGGCACTGTTAGTCACAGTCCAACTTACTGAAAGTTTGTGTCTATGATTATTCATTTCTTTATACGTAGTTTGCATGTAAATAATTCTCTGATACTTCTTATGAAAACCTTTATTTTCTGTCTATAACTTAAAATACTCAGTACTTCAATAACGTTTTAGACATCTATTCTGAAATATTTTAAAATTCTGTTGTTTCAATCCTTCTTATCTAGATCATAGCTTTTAAATTCACTTAAGTCTATAGTCATCGTGATAATAAAGAATGCTGGGAAAATCATTAATTGTTCAGAAAGAGTTTTCTTCAGTTCATAGACTTGAAATTCTCTAACGATTATAGTTATACATTGATAAAATAATTTTAGAGAAAAGATAGAAATATCATTCGCTGGCACTTTTCAGTTGATTAATCTTGTTAAAATGAAAAGCAACTTCAAGTTAGAAAACGGTACAATGAACCATCAACCAGAGATATATCACTGGTCTCTTCTCTTACCTTATAGTTTTATCGGAAACTAGTTTGTATCCTAATATTATTGCGTTAGATTGAACATGTTGCTGAATCGCCCTAAATTTAAATCACTGACGAGGTTGGAAAATTGACTTATCATATGAATTTAACTGGTCTCAGTACAATAGCTGTGGTATACTTCAACGGTTGATTGTTTACACAAAATCCACCCCTATCCAAATCGTTAATCAGAATACCGAAAAATTTAGTCAATTACCTTGTATTGCTTGTATTTTTCTAGACTCAAAAACTCATGTAATTATGATCACCAAATCAATGACTACAATACGCCATAAATAAGGAATTTCAGTAGATGCATAACTGAGATAAGTAACTGATTTATTGTCAATTAGTCTGCAGAGAATGCACATCTGATCGAGTACAGATTTAAATAACCAACATACGTGAGTTAATTAATTATATTTTATAAGAAGCCAACATAAGCCTCAACAATTAACGAGTCAAAGAATTGCTTGTAATTAGTATAATTTATAAACTTCCCTGTATATTCTCCCATTTTTAACAGTTGAGATTCACGAATGTACTGTTATTAGAATAACAGGACCACTAACCAGCAAAATAGATTTTTCTCTTAATAAGATAACATCCTGATATCCGAAATATTGGATACATAATGTAATCAAAATAGGCACTTTGGAGATTAAAATTTCATTGATCACTTAATCATAGGTAGGATAAACACTCTACTGTAAAGCTTGATTCTTCTCTGTCACATCAATTTTCATAAGTGTGATTATTTTCGGTATTCTGTGTTCAGTTGTATAAACTGTTGAATTGACTCAATGTCTCCATTTTTCAGTGTTCTAAAACTTTATATCATATTTATTGTGTGTTTGATTACTATTAATCAAGTATGATCTTTTACATTTAACAACAAATTTGTACAAAAAATGTTAAACAGATTTATTATATCAGTAAAAACCTGTCACACTTCTCATTATATTTTTTATACACTTTTTTAAAATCACATCTGCTGTTTGTTTGTTTTCTTTTATCATGTAGATTCGGTGTAGCACTTCAGCTTTAAGCGCATATTTTCTTGATCATGAATCAGATCAGCTGTTTATTGTTGAAGTGTTAAAGATTGTTGAACAGATTCTGCAATCGTTTCGACAAGAAGAGAGGTAATTAGTTTGCTCAGTTTACTTTTCTAAGATGTAATTGCTATGTGTAGATAATAGTGGTTCTAGTGATATTTTCTAATCACCTTCGAAAACTCAATAATTATTACAATGTGCTAATGATCCAGTATTTGTATTCCCAAATATTCACTATTAGGTTGAAACTGCATTCCGTTCACTTTGGTTTAGGTATGTGGGCTTCATGCATACGATATCCCACAAAACCGAGATGGTGGATTCATCGTTGGTGACTTAGTGTATGAATTCGCTTGGCTTTGTCTAACTTGCCTCACTTGTGGCGTAGGCGAAATGTCCGTTTACCAACTAATAAACGAGTGCACTGTGCGGCGGTTTTTTTAATGATTGTAAAACGTGGCTTTTGAATATAATTGATATTCGTGGGTTACTGGTATTTGATTATAAATGCCTACAATGCATTCTTGTTGTATGTTGTGATCACCTAGTGAGCGATGCTGTGGTTATACCCGGAGTACTGGTTAAAGAATACGAATCAGTTGGTGAAATAGTCAATGTTCATTGACTGAGATGGCTGAGGGATATTTTATGTCTGCCCAACTACCACCCAACTCGGTGCGATAGTGTTGGAGTTGATTTGGATAAAGCTGGAGTTGATCAGTTAAAATGTCATATCAGTGCACGGATTCATCGTCAGTTGGACTGAGCCATGTACGTAGATCTAGATTTTCTGGTTAAGGACTGCACGTTTATCATAGCCAGTAATTAGAGAGTTTTGGCGATATGTCTTTGAATCGTTCACGGTGGTGCTGACATATTCATTCTTTGTACTCCCTTTGATCCTGAGTTCCTATATTATCTTGCAATTCTTTATTATCATTCCACATTTTCATATATATATTTTTAATCATATCTTCTGTACGTAATCGTTCATGATACCACTGATGCTGTTACTATTTCTACAACCCTGAGATTTGTTTTGTTAATTTCATCTGGTTGTTCTGTGTTGTAGAAACTTAAATCGATGTACATATGTGGTAGGTTTTACGTTGAATTTGACTGACTGAGTGCGCATAACAGTATATCATGATTGAAGTGTTGATTGCTTTGTAAGATATATCTCGTGTACAGATGTTGATGATGTACCTACTAGAGCACTTCGAATGATAGTCGCTGTTGTGTCTTGTTGTTGGGGTTCCATACGGCCTACAGTGTCAAGGATTTAAGATCAAAGACGACTGAGCTTCTCTAATACGATCGGTTCTCTTTGGAACTGACAACAGTCAATAATGCTCAACTTTAAAACCTCGACGGTTAAGACAGGAATAAAACGGAATTGCAGGTAACTTTATATTTGTGTTAGAACAATCAACTCAAAACGAAATTAATACAAAAGTTGTTACCATATTAGCAGAATATGACCTTTGAGCATGTAGCAATTCAGCAAACAAAAAAAACATGACAATCAATCCGGTCATGCAGAAAATCGAATTGGTAGAACGTATGCGAGCAGTTGTCGTTCCAGAAGAGATCTTCGCCTTCCCAATAAGATCTGACTATTCTTGCAACCGCCTTAGCTGTTTCTCTTTGAAGTATTGTTTAAACTTGGTGTATACTGATGTGGGATTTCAAAATACCGAAAGTCTGATATGTTTTCAGTTTTTTGAATTGTGAGCAGTCTTACAATACAATAATATTTGAATGGTTTTATTTACTATTTTGTTCATAGGATTGTTATTCCTCTTTTTAAATTTTTGGACTTTTTACTGAATGATCCGATTGTCAACTCAACAGTTGATCCAAACAGGTAAGTTTGTCATTGTTATATATATAGTATTATTTAATTATTCATTCTTTCATTTTCAAGTAAACATATCCTTTATGATTTATTGTGCATTCGATGCTTCGTTACTGAAAATTATTTTCATAATAAAATAATATCAGAAAAGCCACAAATGACTATGGATTACTGGTCAACTACTTTTCCATAATTCGTGACTCCTCATCAACGATTACCGAAGATTTTACGGTGTCGAGTACAGAACTTTGAGGTTTCACAGAAAACATAAAGCCTTTATAACCTTTGGTTTTGTATTCTATGGTAATGGTCACTGTTGTCCAGACAAAGTAAAGACACCCGTTCAGTGATTCGTGGTGTTTATTGGTTTGACATCACTTCATAATGAAAAAAAATTTAAAATCTATGAAGTTCTTCGAAATATTACCCAACTTATACTTCATTATTACTAAGAGAGGTTCGAAGAACTCTACTATTATATTATCTGAAACGTATACTTTCTTGAGCGAAAATGGTTTATTTTCTTAGGACATTACATATGCATTGGTGTAAGGGAATTGGAAATGAGATAAGTATATGAATATATATTGAAAATTGCAATAACATACTATTGGTATATTCAAGGCTATACCACTTCCTTAATGTAGAATACATTCACTAAATATACTGTTAAATAGTACTTTTATAACATATAAATATTATCTATATACTGTAATGTTAATGTTGAAATTATTTTGGAAACTGTTTTCATTATTTTATCATCATTACAACAAATAAAATTATTAGTTTGTGTTTGCTTTATTGGTTACAATTACATTATGCGTATCATTTATCTGAAATCGTAAACTAATCTGCATGCCAAATTAATGGATAGTCAATAAGTTTTGAACTTATCTCGTGTCATTTTATTACCTTTGACCCATTACGTTTATCATCCGCATTGTAAGTATAAGCACTAAAGGTTTGAGTTGGTAATTTCAAATAAATTAAGCATTGGGTCAAATGTTAATCATAGAATAATAATGTATTTTTGATATCCCAATGAATAGAAAGTAGAAATTCTAAGGGTTCATGATTTATTGTAAGCCACTTTTTCAATGTAAATTATTAGTGAAATTTGATTTTTTTTATTAACTCTGAAGAAGGGGTTTACAGTATGCCAGGAACCGTCAGAATTTCTAATTTCTGCTCATTAAGATATTTCAAGTGTCGTTCTTGTTACTTCCATCACTATTATTATTATCAGTAGTAGTATTACTATCATTTTCGAATTATTATGAACACCACTTGTTTTTCATCCACCTGGGTTACAAATCTTCTCCACCATCTCAACTCTACGTGTTGATAAATGGGATTTATATATCTTTTTGTTTATTTTTTGTTATCCTGCCTGTACAGTCCAATTCTTTTACAATTAACGGAAAGTGTATGGAATGAAACCAAACTAAATAAAGATGTACAACGTATTAAAGCTGCTATCGATGTGTAAGTCATTGGTGTTTAACTGCTTAAAAAGGACATTAAAAAAGTGCTTTAAAAAAGCACTAAACTAATGAAGTACAGTTTATTGCATTTGCTATTTATCTTGTTAATAAAACCCGATACATTTTGATGTTGTAAGTTTTATGAGATTTTTATTATTATTGAAGATAATAATTAAGGGAATTTAGTCAATATTTTATGCATATAGTGATATTTGCCTGCAAAATTAGTTTCTTGTCAGTCAAAACCGAATAAAGTTTTTGTTTGTTTGTTTGTTTGTGTGTGTAATTTATAGACCAAGTGGTCTTACGTGGAAATCGACAATAACGGCATAACTCCACCAGTGTGCTAATATCATGTACTTTATGTTCTAGTAGTCGGGAGTTTTATATCATTATTTACTTACTAACCTACTTACTTACGCCTGTTACTCCCAATGGAGCATAGGCCGCCGACCAGCATTCTCCAACCTAATCTGTCATGGGCCTTCCTTTCTAGTTCTACCCAATCGCTGTTCATTCTTCGCATGTCTGTCTCCGTTTCTCGACGTAGTGTGTTCTTTGGCCTTGAGTATTGCAAGTGAGGGCTTTCCTTGTGACACAGTTGGTTGCTTTCCTCAACATGTGTCCTATCCACTTCCAGCGCTTCTTCCTAATTTTTTCCTCTGCTGGGATCTGGTTTGTTCTCTCCCATAGTAGGTTGTTGCTGATAGTGTCTGGCCGGCAGATCCGAGGTATTTTGCGTAGGCAACTGTTAATAAACACTTGTATCTTCTGGATGATGGCTTTCGTAGTTCTCCAGGTTTCCTCCCCATACAGTTGAACTGTCTTGACATTTGCATTGAAAATTCTGATCTTGGTGTTGGTTGACAGTTGTTTTGAGTTCCAGATGTTCTTCATTTATAAATATGCTGGTCTTGCTTTGCTGATCCGCGCCTTCACGTCTGCATCAGATCCACCGTGTTCATCAATGATTCTGCCCAGATATGTGAAGGTTTTTACATCTTCCAAATCTTCTCCGTCAAGTGTGATTGGATTGTTGCATGTTGTGTTGTATCGGAGAATCTTGCTTTTCCCTTTGTGTATGTTGAGACTTACTGCTGCTGAGGCTGCTGCTACACTGGTCGTCTTCTCCTTGATTTGTTGTTGCGTGTGCAACTTTATATGTCATGGTTCACACAATAAAATAACCCTGTTCTTGAATTTCTCATACAATATAGATTTGATTTTACATATCAGGACATTTATTTATTTATTTTTACCTATATATATGTAGATTTGGTGGGATGTTACAATTCACTGGGCCTGTTCGAAAGCGATCTCTATCGTTAATGATGGTCATGTTGGGATCTCGTTACCCAATTGTAGGTTTGACATGAACTACTGTTAAATTAGTGGTGGTGTATCTGTAAATGTATTTTTGAATTCACATGTCATTATTTAAATGGTTATTACTTTTAAATTTAACCAAGTGTTTTATCAATTAATACTATCGTATGTATTTATTTAAATAATCAGATGGAATGTAGTTATATGTTTGTTATTCTTTGCCCATATAAAGCTTTTCGAAAAAAGCATTAATGTACAGAAAATATTGATTTTCTTTTCAACTAACTATAAAGAAAAATGAAAGACAGTTTAGCGAAGAAACTTTTCTCTTCCACGATATTGTTAACCCAAGCTGTAAAGTCGTATTTATAGTCAATGTTTACAAATAGTAGTTTATAATGTCACATGTTGCATCATCATCATGGTAGTATAAGAGACTAAACATATTTGGTCTCATTAAGTCGAAGGATAAACTAAGTTTACTTTCAATCAGAGAAAGTTACATGAACTTGTACAAACTTGTACACAATGGCATCGATCTATACACTCTTTGTCTTCCTTTAAACTATGAGATTAAAATCGCTTCATATCTTTCTTTCTACGAACTAATTCTTTCTTCCTGTATTATGTCCTTATAGGAAATCTTTATTTTATATTTTACCAGCACTACTTCTATGAATCCGGTGTTGATCTTGTTGTACTTATGAGGTACGGCAACTTGAAACGACGCACATATGTGCCTGGTCCTACGTTGTAGCTGACTGACTGACTGTGCGAATAACGCAATTGACATCAGAATTGAAAACCTCGGGAAATATTTAACAGAAAAAGCCAACCACCTAGGTTCATCGATGAAGATCTGAAGCCAAGACGGCTACTTGAGAGATTTTCAATAGAACCAAAGTTCCTCTACATCAATGTTCATTCCAAAAAACAAATTTAGCAGATATTCTTAAAAATAAACTTTCAAGAGCTTTGAGAAACACAATTTATTTGGTTGAACTTCGCATTGCTTTCTCTAGTTAACTTTTGATTTAGAGTTGCATAAGAACCAAGCTCTTGCTCTGGGTCACATTAATATACATAAGTTAATTTGGTCTTATGGAACAGATTGTGTAGGTTGTACAAAGCAAGCTACTTTGAATGTATGTTTTGCCTGGCCTACCGTATGTTTACACATATCAATCAACATTGTAATCAAAGAACATCTTGGAAATTTTGATCAAGTTCATTTTCTAGAACCTTTTTTCAAAATCATTTATATAGTTAAAAGAACTGGATGTAAATGAATACAAACTAAAAATATGTATATAATAAGAGCTCTAACAATTCAATGACATAACACACTATTTTGTAAACTGCTATTTGCTAAAATTAACTCTAAATACTATTGTACAGCTTAAGTAGATAATATCGTTAAAAAAAATCATTTTCTTGCCTGAATTGTCTTTTTCATTTTTCTGTGCTGATTATCCCACAAGCACAACGTTAAAGCTGGTAGCAGAAATGTTAAATGAAGACAAATTACACTGTGATGTTTTAAAAGTTGATTTCATCTTATTGTTAATAATCTCTTTTCGGACACATACACTCTGTTCAGTATTTCGTATAATAATACTTATTTTGAATTTACTTCCTTTCGTTGAAAAATTCAGATTCGTAAGACAACCGCAACAGAATTGTATGAAGGTTTACTGGTCTATGAGTTATGTTCATCTGAATTATTAGATCAAGTATCATCCATACTTACTGAAACCATCTGGTGAGTTTCTAATCTTTGTATACACATTTTTCTTATTATTCATTTTCTTGTGGAAATGATATGGTTGGATTTATGTTGATATTTGTATATTTGCCTTGTTTAAAATAAACGTGTATACTTGTACCTGGGAAAAACCCGTTAATTTCAACTTAATATACATGGCTTTAGACAATGACGATTAATTTTTAGATAATTGTGTTAACTTTCACTGGCTCAGGTGCATGAGTGATGTGTGTTGGACGATTCACTACCCATCACAATTTGCCACCTTTGACAGATTTGGCTCAATTTAGAAAATATTGTATTGAAACATGTCAGTGGTTCATATAATCACATATCTAATTTTAGTTATTTAACGAAGCTCATATTCTCTAAGTGCTATCAGCGAGATGTCACAAATTTATGGTTAGAAGACTTTGTATTGATATTTGCTACATTTGTACAGATCTTTGCACTTATTGCTCTGTGTAATTCCTAAATATTTAGTTACTTTTCGTTTTGTTTCCTGTTTGGACCTGTGGTTTGTACCATGTTCATATACACATACATTCTAATTTTTTCTCATAAATATAATAGTTTGTCTTTGTCACTACTTTTATTGATAACTTTGGTTTAACGATTGTGTTTTTTTTCGACTAAGAAAAATTTCTTACTGCTTTCTGAATTCATCAGGGAAGGTGATATTGAAGTAGTCAGACCAATTCGTAATCAACTTTGTGAATTATTTCAAGTTCCTGTACCAAGAATAACGAGTAATACTCAGAACCATTCATCACCAGCTTGAAAGTTTATGGAATGAAGCTTCTAATGCAAATATAATCTACGAGGATTTGTTTGATACAAATGTGAATAAATATAACAATATAAAGAAAACATAATTTTATTTAATTGTAGTAATGTTATTTAATGTTCTGCATTATTTATTTTCTTATTTTGAAACAATTCGTTGTTTTTTTTATTGTAATGTAAATACTTCATTGTTAATAATGATTGCTAAGCAAGAATTTTCAATGTATGTTACTCGGTCATATTTGTTTTAGGTATCGAAATACGTCAAGTCAAATTAATGTTCTTTGATAAATAAGGTCGGATTGATTATTAAAGATGGATTTATGTCTATTAATTAAAATGTAAAGTGTAACTAGACGTTGATTATTTTATTGATATGATTCGTTGTGTGATTAGTTATAGATGCTAGATTTTGTAAAGTTCAATAAGCTGGGACCGAATGTAACCTTAGAAGCGCTACAGGCAGGATAGTGCAATATACGTACGCTACATAAGTTACTTGGTGTATCTTGAGTAGTACATCCAAGTTACTCAGCTGAAAATTTTAATTATGAAATTAATTTTCTCCAAATTGTTTAAAATAAAAATGAAAGATAAATTGCTACAAGCTTTTTTATGAAGTGGATGTAATCAAATTATGCTAACAATCCAGTTATTTTAATTGTAGGAGAGTGCTAGCAATTCAAGTATGGAGCATTTTACTTATTATAACATGTATAGAAACTGTGATTTTTAGGTATTTGTATTATACTGTTGTTGGTATTCAGAGTTGATTTTTCATTCCATTGTTGGAATGTGTGCATTCTGACAAGATTATATTGATATAAGTTTGTTCTTACAACTCTTGGGATGAAGATACTAACCCGTCTTTATCCGGGACTGGCAGTGATCCTGAAAACAACCTAACAGTCCTAAAAGACTGCTACAGATTTGAAATACATTCGGATATTAGTCCCTGATAACATAAGTTAATTTATTTAGGGCTTTAACCATTTCTAGACCTTACTATAATACATTTAACTAATTACTCTTCAAACGAGTTATGTCTTTTACTAATATCAGGATACCATTTAAGTAACACCACTCATAGCCCTATAGAATAGAATTTCGTTTCGAGCTTTTTCCTAAGTATAGTGTTTATGATAAAGTTCATTTTTGCATTGTTTGCTGTAAAAGTAAATTTATACAGTCGTATTTTGATCTTCATAGACATAATGACAGTATAAATTAATACGATTTCATTTTCATACTAAAAATCGAATGCTTAGTGTTTACGGGATTACTCTGAAAACTTCTTTTTTAATTATTTGGAATGGGATTGATATTTAGTTAGTTTATCAAACTTTAATTTTACATGCTGACAATCATATAAAAAAGCAGCATATTAATCATTTGTAATATTTGTAGTTAATAGGCTAACAAAATATTAGAAATATCTTACTAAACTGTGCAACCCTTGAGATTATTTAAAGAACCTATTAAAAACAACTCGTAAATTCATGTCGCTTTAGTTTAGTTTGATCAGTGAGTTAGTGCATATATATCACCATTTATACAAGACTTGTTCGTTTATTGTTTCATTCAATTTACAGAAACATTTCATGTTATTAATCTAATCAAATATTTATGCTAATGAAAAACGAGGGATACACAAAGAAATCTCGTTGATGACATTATCTATTTAATACTTGTAAACTACAATAAATATTATTTGAAGTTCTTTTGGAAAATATACGTAATAATTAATCCCTTGTATTTGATGTAGTTCGTCAGTTACAGGAAGTATTGTATAAAGTTGTGAAATGTTTCCTACAACTGTAGCATAATGCACATAGTTACTGTTTTTCACTTTACATTTCACCATCTTATTGAGTTTAAATTCTATGTAATTTAAATGTGACCAGTGATTTTGAACAATTCTACTACCATGATTTTAAATAAATTTTATTCGACTACTAGTTTTCTGTCACGACTTACTTCAACAGTACACCAGTGTAAATTACTGAAAAGAATAATAATGTACCGTGATCCTAATCGTTTATGTTTAGTTTATGCGATCAGGAAGCTAATTTCCAGACAAGGGTTACAATGAAACAGTGAGATTATACCAAAATAAATTAGTATCGTCACTATCTTTACTTTTCGCTTCAGATAACGGTTAATTATTCATAATGGTTAATGTTAATTATTTATCAATCTACCTAAATACGGACAATTCGTTTTCACTTTATAATACAGTAAAACATTAGCTTCATATGTAGTTCAAATGAGTAACAAACTACACTTAAACACACTTTTTTGTTAGTAATTTCTGATATGTTGATACACAGTCTGTAACCGTACTATAAATAATATCTAGACAATTATATAAGTAGTTCAGGTTAGTAGTAAAAATTCAATGGTTTCGTTCATTAAATCAACTAAGAGAATAAGATTGGATTTAATCATGAATTACAATTTATTAAATAGGTTTTATATTCTTCTGAAAATAAGTAATAAAAACAATCCCATTCTGGATAAATCAGTATTTACGGACATGGGTTTTTTAACAACATCAAATAGTGATACAAGTAGTTAATCCAAAAAAGAAGTGATACTTTACAGTATTTCATTATTTTATTTGTATTCAATTAATTGATAACTTATATATATGGGGTCAATTAGAACTGACATTTATTAAATATCCTTCTTATTGCTTTTGTTTCTTTGAAGAATTCGTGCATCTTTTTCAGTATCTTGATCTTGTTGATTCACAGCAGTACTGTTATCTTGATGAGTAGACTGATTGGTTATGACAGGATCTGTTGACAGTTTATTAGTTTCTAAAATATTGTCACTTTGTTGTTGGTTTTGCGTATTTCGTAGACAAGCTTTAAACAATTCTCTGTCTTCTAAACCATAAATAACAAAACTCCATGTTCCCTTAATTCAAATAAAAAGATAATTTAAAGTGTAGTCAACTAATTTACAGATGATTCAAATATTATTAACGTTTAGTTAATAACATATATAAAGTGTATATGACAACAGTTGCTTTACGTTTCAAGACTTTTTGATGCATAGATAGGATAGGATGTTCTCTACGACCAGTGAATTCGTAGTTTCATTCACTGACTGAACATAGCTAGACAACTACTGGGAGCCAGAGAGCATTGGTCAACTGCTTTATCACTAAATACTCCTCAAGAATTGGATATTGACGATTCATCGAACCTGTTGGGTGGGGTTTACCGGTTTTTTATTTCTAACTTCAATTAGCTTATTACATTAGGTGATTGTTCACTGTTGTCAGTGATCCTCTCTCAGTAGAATTGAAGAAAAATTGCGTAAATTCTTTGGTTCATTTTTACAAAAGTGGTCAACTATTACATAAGTATATCATTGTTTCTCCATTGAGACATTTTTATTAGCTTACTGTTAAATTTATACTTCCATACTTTTAATGGAACTTATTAAATAATATAACAGCTATAAAATTGTTTCATCAACATACTGCCTAGTTGGTCCTATAAACTTTACTAATCAACAAAATTCTTTAAGAACATAATAAAAGTATGTAAATATGGACAAATGTTTCTTCTTGTTTTACTAAACTCACCTGTAAAGAGACAAGGGCGAATGCAATAAAAACTACATACGGTATTGTCACTTGTATTACAACAAAAAGTAGACTCCAAGTTATGAGATAGTACAATAATAATGAATTCAGTTTCTTCACACGTGTGCTAATTGAAAATAGAAAATTTTATAAACAAATAAATTGTATTAAGATTTAGTTATGAACCATGGAAAATTATTTTTTTGTATGTATCTAAGAATATTGTCACAATAGATTTATTAGCGATATGGATCATTGAGTGGTTGACTGTGAAGTGTTTATTATTTTCCTAGACAAGATCATTGACACTAAATATTATATTAAAAAGAAATTCTATCTCATACGCTATCAAACACGAACATTTCTTGTTTAGATTATAGACTTGTGGATTAACGCTTAAAAATTTTACCTCGGAAACCAAGTAGCTGTAAGAGGTAATATGAAAAATAAATTTTAAAACTGTATTTTATTATTAATATATTTGTTATTGAAGATAAGAACATAAATGTTATATCTTCAGCTTCACATAGTTTTGACCGCTTTCTATTAATTGACATACAGTTATACTTTTATAGCACCAATGTTTTGACGAGCTACTGAGTGATATCTACCTGTAAAAACTTTCGTAAAACATTAGATCAACAATTTCGTATTAGAGAAATTTCGTTCATTTGTCCGTGTTATATTACATTCTTGATTTTCATATAGTATAGAGAGCATATTCAGAACAAGGAGTCTGTCATATTATTTACAAAGCAAATATGTAATAGTAACAATAAAATTTGGTTGTGAAGGTTCTGACTAAAGTTACAATTATTGACCAATCGGTTCACTGGATCCATTCAGTACACAGCTGCGTATGTATTTATACTTCATAATTAGTCGAAGCTATGACAAAATAGCTGTTGAAGGATTCCTGATTTCAGAGTTAAGTAGTTTATTCCATGGAAATTATATGCTTAAACCTCATTATTCATTAGGATAAGTTTGATGAATTTCCTCTTTTTTCGGAAATTTCAATTACGTCTATGGTAAGTAAAGCTATAGTGTTTATGAATTAAAATACACCAACTCTTTTAATTGAGGATTCTAATGAAATTACATCTTAGCGTCTTGTCTGTGAGTACTTTTTCTCAAACTACTATCTACATTTTATGTGACAAGTTATAATGGTTCATTTCAATACACCGAAGTCTTTTCTTAACTATATTTTTCTAATTTTGAATCGTACAGTTTCGTCATACACACTTGTCGCCTTAGAATTCGACTGTTTAAAATGAAATGGATGTAATTAGTTTAATCCGAATATATGAAAGTGCTGTAAGCTTTTACTATGCTTAATTAATGTACTTTACTTATGTTAAAAGTAAAAAAACTGAAAGGATTATTTATTATACTATTCTTCACTGATATAATAGTTATGCAAACCATCTACTATACTTCATTAAGAAAATGGCTATAGTTTAACCTATAAATTAATGTATCATAAAAATAAATGTTGATTATTATAAACTTACAATAGTCTATCAAGTATCTTTGGCGGTAAAAATGCTGGTGTTTCTAGATTGCATGTTAACGTAAAACATACAATTATATTGATAATTGTATAAGC